ATATTGTATTTTTGCATAGATTCCAAATCTTCTAGGATATAAAGTTTTTTAAAGTATGTACATTTTAGGCCAGGGGTGGTGGCTCGTGCCTGTAATCCTAGCATTTTGGGAGGCTGAGGTGGGAGGATCGCTTTGAGGTTATAGTGACCTATGATCAGGGCACTGTACTCTAGCCTAGGTGACAGAGACCCTGGGAGGACAGCTTGAGGCCAGGAGTTCAAGACCAGCCTAGGCAACAAAGCAAGACTCCATCTCTACAAAAAATAAAATTAGCTAGATGCGATGGCCCATGCCTATAGTCCTAGCTGCTTGGGAGGCTGAGGCAGGAGGATCAATCTGAGGTTACAGTGACCTATGATCAGGACACTGCACTCTAGCCTGGGTGACGGAGACTCTGTGTTTAAAAATACACACACACACACACGCACACACTCTTTATAAAATATATTGCTTTAAAATGTTTTAGAGAATGAGAGGGAATGGAATCCTTTTCCTTCATTAAATACTCTGGGTGCTCCCAAAACAGGCGTGAATTATCTGGCTAAGAGATGGAGCCAGAAGAATCTTTCCAGTGTTTTTCTTCCCCACCAAACTGTTTGCCTACAACTTATTTGTTATGCTAAATAGAGCAGACAGATATCATATTATTTATCATTTGTTCACGTGTTATGTATAAACCATATTTTCTTTGTAAAAACAAAAAAAAGAATTTATTAGGTACAAGAGGGCTGGAGCTGAATCTTTGGCGATGGGCTCTCCTGGCCTCCCTTGCTCAGTGGGTCAGCGCTGGCTCCGGCCAGGGGCTTGGTCACAAGCTCTGCGCGGCCTGGGGGCGGTGACGGCAGCCGCTGGCCGGGCATGAGGTACGCAGGAAAGCACGTCCCAGCCTCTCAGGGCAGCGGCTGTGCAGAATGTTCGCTGTGGGGCCCAGTGGGACCAGAACTTTCCTTCTTTTTTATTTTTCCTGAGAATAACTCTAAGTTTAGGCTTGTATGTGACATTTCTTTTGACTCTTAGTTGTTTGACATACTTCTAGAGCACTCTGTATTCTAAACCACACACTTGCTGGGTTAGTCCGGTGGGTCAACCTCTGATTTAGTGCCTGCGGCCGCAAGGTCCTAGCTTAGACCCTCTGGGCACCGGGAATCTAAAGTCCCTGCTTTCTGTGAGCTTCCAGTCTAGCTGCGAGGAGAGAAAATGTGGGTGGGAAACAGAGGAGCAAATTGGAAACGCTGTAGGAATTCAAAGAAGGGATAAATAACCCCATCTGGACCAGTCAGGAAAAGCTTCAGAGGGGCATGGAGGGAGCTGAGGGGGACGTACAAGTGTCGCTAGGTGGTGTGCAAGGGAGAACAGCAAAGGCCCAGGCTGGGGAAGGCCCAAGGCCCGTGCACAGAAAATACGAGCCTTTAAGAAGAGAGTCGTTAGCTGTTGGAGACGAGTGGCCGTCCCTTAGCCCACCAGTGGAAGGTTTTCCTGACCAACCAGGATTGTACAAATTCAGTCCTCTGCTGAATTTCAATGTCACACTTTCAACAGTATGAGGGTTAGAGCTGCAGATTTAAGCACTGCCTGTGCTGAAGTGACAGTCAAAGCCGCTGGGTCTGTCGAGAGTGTGTCCCTCTGTTTAATGTCTGCCATCGGCAAGGGGCGCACTGATGAACTTGGAGGTGTATTTTGAGTCTGGAATTTGCAAAACCACCAACCATTATTTACTACGCTCAGTCATGGTTGAAGCTCAGAGAAGAACCTAATTCAGAAACCTTCTGCATGTTGGAAAGTGGAGAGGTTTGAAGTAAGAGAAGCTGGAAGAACGTGGGGAAAGAGAAACCCAACATTTCTCAGGATTCGCCTGTGGCGATGGCCTTTTTGATGGGTTTATGATCTCCCTTCAAGGATGGCCTAAACTAGAAACTTGTTTTCTACTGTTGTGAAAACATTATTTAAGAATGGAACTACTTAAACAGATTTATGATCTTCTATTTTGATGCCACGCAACACATTCGAGCAATACTTTTTTTCTTTCTCTATTTAAAGTGTAATTTCTGTTAAAAATGAAAATAAACGGGTGGTTTCTGTGTTCTTCCCATTATGAGATCCGCTTGTTCTGCAGATTAGCATTTCAAAGCCTGAGAACTCCAAGTTATTTCATGTAAGAGACTGTATATTTGGACATTTGTATTTAGGAATCATACAAGCCTAAAGTAGTTTATGGACCAACACCCACCTTGCTGGCTACTGAACTTTGGAGAGAAGTGAAAGCTTATTCTTAGACATGTGTATAAACCAGGTGAGTTTAGATGAGTGAACATTTGGCCTGGGAAGCCGAGGCCAAGGAGAAATTGTGCCCAGAACATCAATCAAAAGTAGCTCTGATTCCAAGTTCTGTACAGCCCACACACTGTCCGAAAGTACTGTTATGAAACTGTACATAGACAGCTCTCGAAAACTTCTCAAGTCCAAGAAACCAAGAAAAACACCCATGACAGTTTTCCTCCATGTCATAATGAAACTGTTTTTTGAGCAGAAATTTATAACCAGGCAAAATTCTGTTAAATAAGATCACTATTTATTTGGAAGACTGTCCTTGCTGACTCCAAGACATTGGAGCCGTGAGATTTCTCGCTGTCACTGATCCTTTCGCCCTGTCTTACATGATTCTATATATATCACTAGTATTTGAGTCAATCGACTTCGGACTGCCAGAGGCAAAACCAGTTGGATGTCTTTTATGCCTTGTGAATGCAAATTCAAATATTTATTCAAATATTCACTAATCCAAGAGGATTTCTTTGAGGAGGCCTGGGGAGAGTAGCTCATAGCATGTTGAATGTCGATGACAAAACAGGCTACGGTGCAGGAGTCAGCCCTTGAGAGGGATGGAGTTGGCACTAGTCACAGGATTTGACCGTTTGTAACAAAGATAGTACGTGTTCTTTTATACTTACGATGACTTTGCGATATATTAAATTTTAAAGAGGAAATGCTATTGCCTGAAAGAAAGAAAGAGCAAGAGGGAGGAAGGGAGAACACCATTCCTAACTTTTAGATGAAACGACTAAAGCTTCCCCCCTCAGGATTTGGAAGCTCTCCAGTGTCCAGCGGGCTCCAGGAAACTCAGGGGATTGTCATGGTATCGGAGGCAGTCCTAGGTGCCAAAGTCAAAATAGGCCGCGCTGGCCATCGTCAAGCCCCAAGTAGGAGCGTATGTAGGTCACTTACATGTTTTGAATTTAGACAGGCTGAGTTTACGCCATTGTTTTACAATTAAGCTCTGGAGAAACACTGAGTGTTCTAAATTTTTTTAAAAAAAGGTACTCGTTTCACAATATATAAGAAAATTGCAACATCAACTTGAACGACCACCTCAGTGGTTCACATTGGGGCCCTCTGTGTGTTGGGGAACCGGGCGGGGAATTCTGTTTATGCCCAACCCAGGGCTAGCTCTTTCCTTGGAGAGTGTTTGGGGCCGACACTGAGGATCAAGAGTAGACACAAGCATTTCCTTAGGCACACTCAATAAACACTATTCTGATGCAAGGGAAAATAATTAGTAAAGGTAGAAAGTGCTCACAAACCATCAGATTTAATCTCAGGGTCTTTAGTGAACATCTACTGAGCCTAAGGGTGGGAAGCACAAAAAGTGTGTAGGAAGGAAGGCAACATGGGCTTTATTTCTGCCCGTTCCTTCCCTGAGCACCTATAGACACTACTTCCTCTCCCTCCAGGTCACCTGTCTCTTAAAAGCCTCCCTCCATTTTATTCTCTGCAAACACTCCCAGCCTCCCACACACAAATGCATGTGACAAGGGGGACAAATTGGCTCCATGGGAGACTTGTGCTCAGCGGGAGCTCGGGCCTATAAGGGAAGAACCAAATTAGCAACTTCACGAATTCTGCTTTTGTTTTACCAGCTGCCACTGTTAAGTTCTTATTTAATGAAAGTATTTGCTTTTCCATAAATACATGTAAATTTCCTACCTCTTACTTGTCATAGCCAAAGAAAGCCCCGCAAGTGGTAATCAAGGAAAGAAGCTCATTTGAGACAAATCACTGTGATTGTGCGGATCGGAGTAGGCACTGCCCCCATCCCATCCTCGCAGTTTATTAATTTACCGATTGTTCTGCCCTGTTGTCGCTTGAAAGCTGTCACTTAAGCTTATTTTAATTAATAATTATTTAATTTCAAAAATAGTATGCTTCTGGTAAAAGAGTCAAGTGTGTGTGTGGTTCTAAGATAGTCATAGCAACCTGAGGGAGTCAGTCCCTTGTTTAAAGCCCTCCAGTGATTTCTCCTGACCCTCAGAATGAAATCCAGGTGCCTCACCAGGCTCTACAGGCCCTTCTGGATTGGTCTCTCCTTCCGCTTCACCCTCTTTCCCCGCCTCTCTCCTCCACGTCCTTGACTTCGCTCCACACTGGCCTCTCACACACCAAGCTTACGTGTCCCTCAGCTCCCGTCACCGTGTTCCCGCTGCAGAGGCGGCCCCCGGCCCTAGTCCCCAAGTCACTCACATTCCTTTGTTCCATTCTGTTCTGTTCCATTTGTTCGTGGCTTCTGTCCCTCTCTGAAATTACTTGATTGCTTGCTGGTTTGTTTTCTGTTCTCCCTCCAGACTGTGAGCTCCACAAGGGCCGGGGTCTTGGCCATCTTATTTACAGCCAATGCCCAGCACTTAGCAAAGGGCCTGGCGCACAGGGATCCTCACTATGTGTTGGTTTCAGTGAGGGAAGGGTGGTTATGAGAGTTAAATAAGGATTAGTATAGGTGCTGGCACATGGAAAGGACCCAATAAATGGAAGTTTGCATCCTCTCCCTCCCCCACCTCCCTAGGCTGTGTGCTGAAGACTGATTTAATGTACACTGTTCTATCTCAAATGCAGTCGGGTGGCGTTCAGTTTTGCCACGCACAGTAAATCATACCTCGTTGAGGACAAAGTAGTCCTCCCAGAGCTCTTCACTTAAGTGTCATTTAAATTTTTTTAATCTGATTTTTTAGGTCGTCTTTGCCGGAAGGAACCATGAACTGGCACCTGCCCTTCTTCCTCTTGGCCACCGTGACTTTGCCTTCCATCTGCTCCCAGTTCAACCCTCTGTCTCTCGAGGAACTAGGCTCCGACATGGGAATCCAGGTCTTCAATCAGATCGTCAAGTCGAGGCCGTATGACAACGTCATCGTCTCCCCGCACGGGATCGCCTCGGTCCTGGGGATGCTTCAGCTGGGGGCCGACGGCAGGACCAAGAAGCAGCTCACGACGGCGATGAGATACAGCGTGAACGGTGCGTGCGCACCGCGCTCACTGGCAGGGCCTTTGCCCAAGAGTCTTGTGTCGGGAGTGGAGGGGGCCTTGAGACTTGGTCTTTGCTTACGGCCTGAGGAGCAGAGCAGCCAGATGGGGTTTTGCTGGCAAGATCTGGGGCTTGGGGTCAGCCTCCTCTCCAGGCCAGGTGCTGGGGTGCTGGAGATGGGAGAACCAGATACTGGTTCCCTGTCCGGCAGCTGTGGGGCCCTGGGTCAGTCGCTGGATCCCCCCGTGCCCCAGTCCTCTCATCCCCGCGGAGAAAACTTCTGTCTCAGCCACCTCCCTGGTGGCCAGGGTGAAACTGTGACTTGTAAAACATGTGAGCAGGGCAGGCAGGACGGGGTGGCTGGGGAGACACCAGGGAGCCTTGTGGTGTTAGGGCCATCCTGGGTCCTGACTGTGGTAGTGTCACATGAATCTGTATGGGTGATAAGGTTTCATAGAGTTACACACACACACACACACACACACACACACACACACACGAGCATATGGAAAGCAAGTGAAGTCAGAGCGAGCCATGTGGACTGCACCAGTGGCCATTTCCTGATACAATGACAATACATTGAGGAAAACTAGACAAAGGGAGTGTGGGACCTCCTTGCGTATTGCTTTGTCACTTGCTATAAATCTATAGCTATTTCAAAATAAAAAGCTCAACAAATTGTTTTAAAGCAAGGCCTAATGAAAAAAGTTTAGTTTTATTAAAAGAAAAACCTATCTTTGCCTATTGAATTGCGCACACATAATCTCCTGGTGCTGCATTTGGCTCTAGCTCAGGGTCCCTGCCCAGAGGCACCTCCCACCCGCCTTTCCACAAGCGTGGTGTGTACAGGAGCAGGCCTGGCTCCTTCTAGCCACCAGCGTGCACCATGGCCTTGAGCAAGTCCCATTCACATCCAGGCTGGAGACGAGGGAGTTTTCCTGCCTGTGTTCTTGCACCGCTGCCGCCAGTCCAAAGCTCTGAGAACCTTGACTGCGTTGGCGCCTTTAGCGGGAGAGTGCCACGAGAGCGGTAGGGATTTGTGTCCTTCTGTGCTCGGTGCCTGCCTGTGACTCTGCTCTCAGCCTGGCCTCCAGGGTTGCCAGCCCCGGATGCCTGGCCACGCTGCTCTGTTGACGCAGCATTAAACTTCTGCATGAGTTTGCAGTTTGTTCACCTGTTAGAAGCATGGAAGTACCAAATACTTGGAACACGCTGTTCTGCCCCTTGCTTGGAAGCTCAGAAAACTCTTGGTAATTTATAACTTCGTGGTGAATCACTGCTAAAATTTATGGCCTTTCCTAGTGCGATCCAGGCCCTGTCGGCCAATACCATTCCAAAATAGCAACTGGACTTCTGTTGTTTGTTTTAACGCTGACCCACATTAATTTTTAAGTCATTATTTCTGAAGTTGTGACGACATTGGGCTGTCAGGGGTGGGGAACCTGCAGCCTCAAGGTCACATGTGGCCCTCCAGATCCCCAAGGGTGGCCTCTTGACCAAATCCAGACTTCACGGAACAAACGAATATAGCATTTGTTCTGTGAAGTCTGGGTTCAGTCAAAAGGTGCACTTAGGGATCCAGAAGGCCACATGTGGCCTTGAGCCTGCAGGTTCCCCACCCCTTGGATGGCACTTGGCCTTGGAAATATCTTGGCCCATTGGCCAATAGCTGGCTGTTCCCTAACTTATAAAGTGGGCCTGCCCCACAGAACGGTGGTGAGGTGATCAGGAGAGGTCCAAGGAAGGGCCGTGCACACTGTAAAGCCCTGTGCGCTCCCCTCTCTGGGGACCATGGGGGGGGGTACTTTGCCCTGCCTCGTGTCAGGGGTCTGAAGAAGATGCACAGAGTCACAAATCGGCTCTTCAGGGGGACCATCAAGGTCACTCTGGTAGGACATTTTGGGACAGTGCCATTTTGCAAAGATCCCAAATGATGAAGAAGGGTCTGTAATTTGAGCTCTCTACGGAAACCCATTTCATCCTCGTAACTTATTTTCCCCTTTTTCATGCTCTCAGACTAAATGGAGCATGTATGAATGGCTCATGTAAAATAAAGCTTACATTGCCATAAAATTAATCTCCTTACTTTTTGAGCTTGATACCAAGTAAAAATCACATTGTTCTGGATGGTGGCCCATGGTAATTTTTTATAGTCTCTCTAATGCTTATTTTATTCATTTTTTTTCCAAAATTGAAAAAAGAAATCTGCTTGTTAAATCTTTGGCACAAAAGGAAATAGCCTTTAATACTGTTAGACGAGAGAGAGAGAGGATGAATTAGGAAGTTCCCTTTAATTTATTTCCCCCAGCTACAGAACTGAGGGGCATGATAGCGTTCATGGGCATCTGGTGCCCGGGAGGATGAGGTCCTCATTGGGAAGGTGTCGAGAACACCCCAGTGTGCCTGTTTTGATGCAGAAGCCAATTGATTTTGAGACCTTTAATAGTAACCCACCCCACTTTCCTAAGAACCAGGCCCCCCGAGAAAGCAGAAGACTTTGTAATCTCTTGCTGCTTGGACTTACCCTGTTTATGCTGTGCTTATTGGCTGTAATACAAAAGATTTTTTTAAAAAACTTTTCTAAATTCTTAGGGAAAAAATGCTGTATTTTCTGATTTCTCCTTTAGGAGTTGGTAAAGTGTTAAAGAAGATCAACAAGGCCATCGTCTCCAAGAAGAACAAAGATATCGTGACAGTGGCGAATGCCGTGTTTGTCAAGAACGGCTTTAAGATGGAAGCGCCTTTCGTTACGAGGAACAAGGACGTGTTCCAGTGCGAGGTCCGGAACGTGGACTTTGAGGACCCCGCCTCTGCCTGCGATTCCATCAATGTGTGGGTTAAAAACGAAACCAGGGGTGAGTGGCCGGAATATCTTGTATGCTTTGTGGGTGAACGTGTGAGTTAGGCTCCAAGACTCTAACTGGCGTCCCCAAGTCCCATGGCCCCTTCCGTTGAGAAACGCCCTGACCCGAGTGAGCTCTGGTCCTTCGCTTCTTTCTCAGCAGGCCCCAAGACTCAGTTTCTCTTCCTTCCCCATTCACGCTACTCGCCGTGCCCTTGGGGGGGTTTCTCCCTGTAGTTCGGACAGTGGAGCAGAAAACGGCCCCTCCCGCTGTCCCCTGTCCTTGCCGTATGGCCTGGCCAGAGTCCTGGGCTACAGGCGCTCGTCTGTTTTAAAGGTTTTCTTGTTCACCCCTTCCTGCCTTTGCGTCTGCTGTTCCCTTTGCCTGCGACATCCACCTCGGTAGCTTTCTCTATTCACGTTCCAGGCTTTTTGCTTCTGCTGTTGCCAAGACGTATGTGCCCCCATCACTTAGGATTGCCACGTGCTCATGCCTTTGTAAAACCCCTCCGCTGTAGTACTTTCCATATCACATAACCGTTACTTGCTTACATGTGTCTTTTCTCCCTTTAAATGGAACGAATGTCTAACATGGGTGTTTTAAACCCGTTAATTTCTAAACCGCAGGTCTAGGTGGAAACACGCAGTAGGAGCTGTAGGTCCGGAACGACAGAGGACCGGGAAGGCTGGAAATGCAGATTTGGGCACCTTTCTTCATAGAAGGGAGAGTTAGAGTCACGAGAGTGGAAGCAAAAGGGACTCAATAGGGAAAAGAAGCCCAAAGACAAAACTTGAGGGAAACTGGCCGCTCAGGGCATGTTTCTTAAAGTGCAGTTCATGGTTCACTTGTGTCAGAATTACCTGGTATGTTTAGAACGCAGATCCCTGGACCCCAGACTAAATCAGAATCTCCGAGGAAGGAGTTAGCAACCCCCAGTCTGCCTCTGCCATCCGTCGCCGTGGTCACGTACCCGAATGTTGGAGGACCATCAGCAGAGCTAGCGGAAGGTGGAAGGTAGAGGTGGACGTGGAAGAAGAATGCCCGGGAGGGGGGAGGAGACCCGGGGTGGTTTTCTAGATCCACGGCATCCCTCCTCGCTGGGGCCTGGACCAGGCAGGTCAGGCTTCCTTCCTGTAAACGATGAGGAGCCCGGCAAACGGGAGGGCGTCCGGCGCTGTTTGCAGGTTGCTGGGGGCTGCGGGCCTGACAGGAGTGGCAGGAAGCAGAGGCACGCAGGACCGTCCTCGGGCCCGACTCCGTGGCTAGACCGCGTGACTGTGGCACGTCATTGCGCCCTCTCAGCCTTCTTTGCCTGTGGAATGTATTATTAAACCACCTCAGTTTTACCACTTGACAGTTTGCAAAGCACCTGAACGTGCTGGGAAGGGAAGCCGTGGAAACCTCAGCAGCGCCTATCAGACCCACTCTTCTCTTTTACACAAATATCTTCCATGCTCTCTTTGCTATCCTGAAAGGAAACTCATCGCCCATACACCCTACACGCACATATGCAAAATTTGTAATAAATTAGAACAATGCCAGACTGTAATACAAAGGAAAACGCAATAAAAGTAATTTGTATATATGGTTCTACAGGTAAACCATGGGGCATAACTACACGTGACTATAACAAAAGTAGTCAGGTTCTGAGAATAATTGGGAGTCGAAAGCTATAGAAGCTGACCCAGGCGGGTACGTCGTGCTGGGACGCATGAGCGTGAGCTGTGTTACCATCACTGATGCAAGTTTTTCTGAAACGCTGCAAGACTCTTCGTAAATTTCCAAACAAAACAAAGTGCAGGCTCCATTTGATTTGCATGGTAGTCGCATTCCTGGCACATTCACTATACATTAAAAGGATGGAAAAAATATAAGCCTTGAATTTATATGTGAAAAAGAGTGCGGTTCTGGGCTCAGATAATTATAAAGAGGCATCTCACCGACACAGATATCCAGTGGGGCATCTGAAGGTCATGTGAAAAGCACACGGTGCTTCATCGTGTGGAACTGTCGAATGTTGCAGGACAGCGAGCATCTCTGGCCACTGTTCCACTCAACCGAAAATGCTCCCCCAAGTTTCCAAACTGCCTGCTGGGGGTGACCTGCCCCACTGAGAGGCACTTGGCTACATGATGAAGCTCAGAAGGACCTGGGAGCTCCACGGTCTGTGTCTAGAACAGGAGTCCTCAAACTACGGCCCGAGGGCCACATGCCGCCCACCGAGGACATTTATCCGGCCTGCCAGGTGTTTTTGCCGCCACTGCCTGTCCTGCTGAGCAGCTGACTTGTCCCAGGCCCACAGTGCGCACTCTCCAATGTTCTGAGGGACAGTGAACCGACCCCTTGTTTAAAAATTTTGAGGGCCCCGTGGTCTAGAAGATTGCCGAGCCTGTTCCACAGAGGTGACAGTTCGTTCCCTAAGAGAGAGGGAGAGTGCAGCATGCAGGCTCTTTGCAGTGTCCCCATGATGGTCTGACCTGCCAGCCTCGTGTACTGTGTGTTCCAGGCTCACGGGCCTGCTCCCAGTACCCTCACCCCCATCCTGTCTCCTGTCACAATGCAGACCCTCCCCCAGGCCCCGTGCACACAGTCCCACTGCCTTCCCCCTGTCGGTGCCTACTCATCTCTGCACCGCCACACGAGCAGAGTGACAGTTAAAAGCACAAATTCTGCGTTGGAATCTCAGTTCTGGAATTAGTTGGGATCTCAGTGTGTGCACTAGCTGTGTAGCCTCGGGCAAGTTACCAAACCTTCCTGTGCCTCAGCATTCTCATCTGTCAAATGGAGAGAGATGGTAGTAACACCTACTAGAATAATTCTAGCAGCATTAAGGCTGCCGTGAGGACATGAATCATGCACGCAGCGGAGTGCCCTGCGCTTTGTAAATGTTCAACCAGCGTGAGCTATTTTTATAGCTGTTGGCTCGTGTAATGCCTCCCCAAGGAACCCGTCCGTCCCGACCTCACTTGCCAGGTCAGGTCTCCCTCGTATTTGCCCTCACAGCCTCGGGTACGTCCTCTTCAAGGCAGCTCTGTAGTTTCCAAGTTATTTATGTCAGTCCCCAACTCACTCTAATTCATAGCTCTTTGAGGGCAGAATTCCTTTTGTTTTCTTAAGAGAATACCGGTGGTGGGGGGGAGGGGTGTCTATGAAATTACTTCATGGGTACAATGTACGTTCCTTCAGTGATGGATGCACTAAAAGCCCTGACTCTACCACTACGAACTGCATCCATGTAACAAAATTACACTTGTACCCTACAAATTTGTACAGATAAATTAATGAATAAATATTTTAAAAAGAGAATGAGTACCTGGCATATGGTAGATAGGTAGGTATCCAGGGATGGATGGATGGATGGATGGATGCACGTTTGTGGCAGTTATTGATGGCAGGTTTCTATGTGCCTTCTTGCCTCTACGCTATGCATTTCTTACCTTTCTCTCTTTATCCTTTCTTTTTCTCTTTATATCTTCACAGCCCCTTATTATATCTTAGTCCTACTGGTGGCAGTTGGAGGCATTATTTATCTCTGCAAAAAAGAACTGTGATTTCTTCAGACTCTAGTTGAGCACTGACTGTATACTGAACATAGTGGTAGGAGTGAGAAAAAAAATGAATGGCAGAGCGCTTGTTCTCATGCGGTTCGCAGTTTAGTTGGGGGAGATAGACACGTTAAAGTTGGCCAGAACGAAATACCACAGGTGTCATTGTAGTGCTACGCATTGGGCTTTACAGAAACCAAGAAGAGAGGTGACTTTTGTGAGGTGGGACGGAGGATCAGAGAAGGTTTAGAAGTAGAGGGGACCACTGAGCTATGTCTTAGGAGCAAGTAAGAATTGGACGGGGTAACGTTCCCAGCAGAGGCGAGAAAGAACACTCACTATTGGGGAACCAATTCTAATGAGCTTGCTAGTGGGAGAGCATAAAGTTCTAACTTCTTTCCCACAGCCCAGTCCGTGGGCAGAGGCCAGCCTTGTACTGAACTGAATGATGGCTATTTATAGCTTATGCATTCTCCTTCCTCTTCCTGACTTCAGGTGGCACTGGCGCCCCCTTGTGGAAGTAGTGGTGATGAAACGGTCTTAGCACACTGAGGGTCAGGGAAACTTCAGTGTGCTTATTTATCATGACTTGCTTAAATGTTTGTTTCTTGTCTAACAGGATCCTCTCGTAACTTCACTTAAAAGGATTTAAAGCTCTCACTGCTGAATTAGATACTCTTGCTTCCTCAGAAGCAGTTGGTTTTACCCTTGCCATTCGAAGTAATATAACTTGCATTTATAGTATGCATTTGTATATATCTGTATATGCCTACATATATATTTGGGTGAAAAAAATGCAGTAAACTAATTTTTAATAGCTTTGGGCATTAGCGATCCCTATTAACACACATACACACACTTTCTCTCTCTCTCTCATAGCTGAATCTTAAAAGACCATTTAAAAGGAGCCTAAATGGAAAACCAAAGCTTCAACCATAAATAATACTTTATTTTATTTTTTTTTTTTTGAGACAGAGTCTCACTTTGTTACCCAGGCTAGAGTGAGTGCCGTGGCGTCAGCCTAGCTCACAGCAACCTCAAACTCCTGGGCTCAAGCGATTCTGCTGCCTCAGCCTCCCGAGTAGCTGGGACTACAGGCATGTGCCACCATGCCCGGCTAATTTTTTCTATATATATTAGTTGGCCAATTAATTTCTTTGTTTATAGTAGAGACGGGGTCTTGCTCTTGCTCAGGCTGGTTTCGAACTCCTGACCTTGAGCAATCCGCCCGCCTCGGCCTCCCAGAGAGCTAGGATTACAGGCGTGAGCCACCACGCCCGGCCCATAAATAATACTTTAGAAGGAGCTTTGTTTGTTCTTTCATTCCTGACACCAATAACATGGACCATTCCCAATATCTTGTGAAGAGCACTTTCCTTCAAAATTAGAAGTTCTTTTAGGATAGACCCATCTTTGTTTTTTTAAGTTGTATTTTATTTTTAATTGGCACATATTAATGGTACACATTATGGGGTATAATGTGATGTTTTGATACATGCATTCAATGTGTAATGATCAAACCCAGGTAATTAGCCTATCCATTACCTCAAACATTGATCATTTCTTTATGATGAGAACATTCAAAATCTTGTTTTATAATCTCTGTAATATCAGCGCCTAGCTTGATGCCTGACTCATAAATACAGAAACCAATTTTTAGTTTCAATTATTCTTTAGTGAGTTATGGAGACTTGTGTTATCCAGGGATTCCAAAATAATCCTCAACATTTCTGAATGTTAAGAAAAGTTAAGAGAAATCTTAAGAGAAATAAAAACATTTACCCTAGATAACATTGTGCAGGCTGAAGTGTTTATTTTTTACTGGGATTAAATCAACCCAGCACTTCAAAACAAACAAAAAATAAACTGCTCATCTTGTGCTGAGCAAACACCCTCACTGCCAGTCACTTAATTAGCAAAAAAATAAGGATATTAATTATCAAGTATAGCTTATTTGGTTGAGTAAAATCTTCTAAAGCATGGGCTTACAGGAAATTGGTAGTAAAAGAATTTCTCTATGAAAACTTTGGTCCCCTTTAATTAGGGATTTCTAATGTCTTTTCCAGTTCTCTGACTTTTAACTTGTTTTTAACTTTAGTTTTTAGTGGGGGGGGGAGGGGAAGAAACCGGAAAGTACAAAAGTGTGTTTTTAAAAGTTTCTTTTTAAAATCCTTTAAGACTCCCTTTGATTTTTGTTCTACCTGGTCAACAGCTACCCTCGTGTGGCCTCAAAGCAGCTGCCAATCCTGAGGTTTTTCCTTGTTTGTTCTTTGGCTTCACAGGCATGATCGACAACCTGCTGTCCCCAGATCTGATCGACGGGGTGCTCACCAGGCTGGTCCTTGTCAATGCAGTGTATTTTAAGGGTTTGTGGAAATCACGGTTCCAACCTGAGAACACAAAGAAGCGCACGTTCGTGGCAGCTGACGGGAAATCCTATCAAGTGCCGATGCTGGCCCAGCTCTCTGTGTTCCGCTGCGGTAAGTTCACACTTGGCGAGGCCTGCTGAATGTCAGAAAGGCCCCTGAGCGCTTTAGCTTAATTCGGGAGCACTGCGTCCCTCGTCCAAAGGCTCAGCTCCTGCCAGGCGTGTGCCCAAGAGCCCTTTCTCTCTGAGTCGCTGCCCCTCCCCAGTCCCAGCCTATGGCCGGCGGTGGTACCCACTGTTTGTAGCTCAGGGTGCTGCCTGTGCTGTTTCTCTGTATTCTGCCCATGATTGGTAAACTCTGCTCAAATGACCCAATTTTATGTCATGGTACCTGTTTCCTACCCACCCCGACTGCTCTGTACTGAATTCAGAGCAGAATAGGAACGTCTCCTGCTCACTGCTGTTCTCATTCCCTCACCAGTAATCACTCTAAACAGCTCAGTGTTGTCCTTCTTGCCCTGCCCCTCTTTCTCTGCCTGTGGTCTCCATTTCAGTAAAACCTAGAATCGGACCACGCTCTTCTTGTGGGCCGTGCCGCAGAGCAGTGAGGGTGTCATGGGGTCCCTGGTTTCTTGCTTTGGACAGCAAGGCAGCTTGTCACGCTAAGACAGGGCAGCTTTGTCTTGGTGGGGCTGTGAAGGTCCATGGTGGCCCCAAGCAGGCGTGTTTTCATGACCACAGTCCACTGTCCCCTGACACTCTGGCCAACTTGCACAGCCAGGGCTCAGGCGGCCCTGCCCAGATTCCCACGGCCTGTGGTGCCACCTGTCGAATGGTGCCTGGGCCTCCGCCAGTTCTCATTACTCTTGGTCACGTTGCCAAGACATTGTCATTCAGTGTATCTGTCTTCTTGACACTTCCCCCCAAAATGCCATGAAAATCCCTGAGAAGGTTCCCCTGGCAACACTCAGGAGCAAGGGTGAAAATAGATGAGGAGGAGAAAACCCTTCTGACTTGTGCCCGATAAGTATGAGCACCTCAAGGACAGAAACTTTTCTCTTAAAAAAAAAAAAAGAAAAAGCTTTAAAATCATTTTTAATAGAAGTGTATTTCATGATCACTGCAAAATCTTTAAATACACAGTATGTAAGTAAACATTCTGCTATAATCCCATTTCCCAGGATTAAAAACTCTATTAGATGCCAGGTATATATAATAATGAGACTTATTCTATGGATATTTATAAAATGTATCTGTGAACCTTTTCTATGTACAGAGGATTATGCTGTCATTTCTATTCTATACTCTGCTTTTTTCATCAGACAGTATATCATGGAAAACTTTTTATGTCAATTCATGAGGATTTACTTGATCTTTTTATCAGCTGCATAATAATATTGCATGGCATAAACACATCACAATATCCTATGGGTGGCCATTTACTTTATTCCTCTAATAAACAACACTGCACTGAGTAGTTTTGTACATAGGTCTTTCAATACTGGTATCAGTATAAAGGAAATTTTCCTCGAATAGGAATTGCTGAGTCAAAGTTGTGATTTTTTTTTTTGTTAGTATGGTTATGGATTTAGACCTTAGAGTCTTTATTTTGAAAAAGATCGCAAAGAATAACCAAATTTATATTTTCAGTGTCCTTTCTCCTCTGAGTTTCCAGTTCACACTTGTCCCCCACATCACTGCTCTCCTTGGTTGTGTCCTAAGTTCTAGCTGCACAGACTAGACTTGTCATTGTCCTTGCCGGCTAGTCCTCCCCCGCAGCTCCTCAGCAGCTAATGGCACCGACACACACCAGTTGCTTACGACACTCCTCCTTCCCCAGCACCTCTCCCCGGATTCCTTTGGACTCCAGCCCAGCACCTGGGCAGAACGAACCAAGTAAGGGAAAGGTATTTGGGAGCCAGTGTCAGAGCATGGAGCCCCCTTTTATTTATTGATTTTTTTAAAATAATTAAAACAAATTTTAAATTATGATGAGTACATAAATAATAGTTGTACACAGTAGACTGTTGCACGCAGCAGATCTGTTACTGTTTTTCCAAAATGTATATTTCATTTTCTACTAAAGTATGGTCTGAACAGTTCCTTAAGAGCTCGGGAAATCCACAGTTACTTGTAGTAGAAGGTAACCAGAGGGACTTTCATCTATAAAGCTTTCCTGATATTAAATATTTAAGATACTCTCTTTGATTTTACAGGCCGAGAAAAGTCCTTAACGTGTCAGTGAGCCTCGTGGTGCCCTCCCTTGTAGCGCTCTCAGCGGGGGTCACAGTTCCTCAGGGGCTTTCTAGAAAAACTGGGTTACCCCCAAAGCACCACTTATGGGAAATTTTAAGTCTTCTCCACATTTTTAGTACTTGATTCTTCACTTGTTATGTCTCATTAAAAGTTGTGTTGACCGCCATTTCGTCTAAGAGGAAAGACTTCTTATCCCCTTTCATCTCTGCTCCTTTTCAGAATGAATGAACCTGCTTCACATTTTTATATACTGCAGAAATTATTCTCACTAAAGAGCACACAGTCTACTTTCCAGAGGTTAAAGAGAGCCTGGGGTAGGGCATTTTAAAGGGAAGAGCTCTAAAGCTCTGGGTCAAGAGGCTTCATAAATATATGCAGCTATTATTTATGTACCCATCATAATTTAAAAATATTTGTAAATTATTAAAATAAGCGAAAATTTAAAAAATCAAAAGAGGCTCAGTGCTCTGACACCAGGCTCCCAAATACCTTTCCCGTACTTGATTCACTTTGCCCAGGAGCCGTGTGTGCGCCAGGGCAGCAGGTGTGGTCCCCCTGGGTGGGTCGACTTTGTGTTTAGACTATGAGCAGTGACCTCACATTCAAGAAGTGAGGTATTTTACAAACCTCCTTACATCAATAGATGGAAGTTGTTGCTGTCTTTCGGACAGTGTTGAGCACTTTGTATGTTATCTCACTGAATTTTCATAACTCTATAAGGTAGGTGCTATTGTTGTAGCATTTTACAGGAGCTTGCCAAAGTCCCAGAGCTAGGGTGCTGCAGGCGCAGGATTTGAACGCAGGTCCCATGGCTCCAGATCTCGAGTCCTCAGCCTCGGCACGTGTCCTCCATAAAAGGATGCTGTGGAAGCAGTACCCTAGTGACCAGGGGGAAAGAGAGGAGAAAGGTGTTACTCTCCCTGCTCCTCAAGCCACCACGTAAAGATGAGCATGGGTATGTCTGGAAGTATCCTGGCCGCTGTTGGTCATTGTTCCTGTGGCCAAAAGCAGAAGTGGAGCCAGGAAGGGGAGATAATCGGCCACCAGGCAGAAATGAGTGACTGGATGCACAGTGGCGCATGGCAGTCAGTATCACTGACCAGTCAACCACGGATCCGGTAGAGGATGGATAAACGGGTGAACGTAGCTGCTGTCTCCCTCCCTCGAACACACCCGGCTCATAATTTTTCATTAATTCATAACCTCCATCCTTCTTATCAAAACAGTAAACATGTCTAGAAGCAGCTAAAGCCTCCAGGTCCTTATTTCATGCCCTGGAGCAATCATTTATTAACTACTTCCCAAACTTCACAGTTTCTAAAAATTAGCTCTGCCCGAGTAGGGACTTAATGTTTCCTTTGAGGATTAAAGAGCTTATTAGGAAGTGAGTTTTTTTTTCTCACTTTCCCATTGATTTTTCAGTTTTTGCTGAGACTATTTCATTACATGGGCTGAAAGTAAAGATGAAGAATCCTATCTTTGATTCTTAGGTAGCCCCAAGACGGAAGCCAGGCTAGAGAGAGTTGGGCACGCATCCAGAGCCGAGGCCACATGGGTTACTGAACAGCCCGGCCGGCAAATGCGGCATGGCAGGACCCAGGGAGACTGAGGGACTCCACCAGTCGCCTGCGTATTTCTTCCTGAAGGAGAAACTGTGGTGCCATCCTGTAGTGTCCCATATTCTAGTCGCTACACTACGTTTATCAGATTTTATGGCTAATTGTGTCCATTGTGTGACAAAGTTCCCTCCCTTTCTCTCCTTTGTTCTTTCTCTTCCTTCCACCCTCAGTCCCTCCCTCCTAACCCCCTGCTGTGAGGAGCTGGCATGTTTTTGAAGTTCCCTGTCTCAAATGCAGTGACTAGCAAAGGTCGTCCCGCAAGGAGAGAGCGGTGAAGATCATGAAAGAAACTCGTTTTCTCTCTCTCTCTTTTTTTTTTAATTTATTTTTTCCAGCATATTATGGGGGTACAAATGTTAAGGTTACATATATTTCCCTTGCCCCCCCTTCCCCCTCGAGTCAGAGCCTCAAACGTGTCCATCCCCCAGTTGGTGCACATCACACTCATTATGTATGTATATACCCCTCCCCTCCCCCCCACCTGCCCAGCACCCGACAGATGTTACTCCTATATGTGCACTTAGGTGTTGATCAGTTAATACCAATTTGCTGGTGAGTACATGTGGTGCTTGTTTTTCCATTCTTGGGATATTTCACTTAATAGAATGGGTTCCAGCTACGTCGTCCTCCCAGATTACTTAGAGGAGGAGGAGAGGGCCGACATTCCTTGAGCACCAAGCATGGGCCAGGCCCGCTAAGCACCTTATGTATTGTTTTCTCGTTCAGTCATCACAGCAACCCTGTGAGGCACACACTTTGACACCGTGGTCTCTCCATTCTACATACAAGGAGGCACGGGTCACCAGGGGCACAGAGTTCTTCTTTAAAAGTTTAAAGTGTTTAATAAAACATTTCAGAAATGCGCCATAAATCTAGACATGCTGGTTTTTCATTCACCTAGTTAATTTTTATAACTCTTTTCATTAGATGCCTAGCTTCAAGGTTTCCTAGGATCCTAAAGCTGTGGATAACGCCTTCTCCCTTCTCATAGCCCCTCCGGGCCCTATTAGCTGGGCTGCTGGCCGGCACCCCTGACTGCACCTTCAACCCCTCTACTCGGCCAGTGCTCAGTTGTGCTGCTCAGTTGCTAGATATTTTGAGCATCTTGCATGAACTAAAAGGGTCCCAAGATCAAATTAGTTTGAGAAACATGGTGATAAATGGGATCAAACACTTTCCTTTACTTGCGATTGTCTCAGAGCCTTTATGGCCCTGGTGTACATTATGAATCTGCAGAAAACATCAAGGGTCCAGTGCTCCCTCAGGTCGCTGGGATATGGAATCTGTTTTGTCTGTAGAGCATCTTACAGGTAGAGTTTTTTCTAGACAACATTTTGAGAAATGCAGACTTAACTCATTCTTGGATTTTCGCTAATAAGCAGAAATACCATGAAATCTCTAAAAACCATCATGGAATGGATAGAGAGTGAGTAGGGAGCCATGGAGTGAAGTAGGAAGAAGGTCACCTTTGGCATTAGACTCTCTGCTCCCCACGTCTCAGCAGGGTGCCTTTGGTAGGTTACTTAATCTCTCCCAAAGTGGCCTCTTCATCTGTAAGATTGGGCCAGTTATACCCACCTCGTGGGGTGCTGTAGATTCCAGATCTCTTGTAGTGGCTGGTGTGGGCCTGGCATAGAGGGGCCCGTAAACAAGAAGGCTGTTTATCCTCTCCCTTCTCTTCACATGTAGCCTTGTCCAAAATGAGGACTGTAGGTGATAATCTTATACTGTACTTAGGATTCCTGCGAAATGAATCAATTTTAGCTGCTTTTGTCATAAAAACAATGACAAAATAGGAAACCATGTGAGATGCTGGGTATGTTAATTTGCTGCACTTGTCACTCGAGGATCTATTTTACTATCCGTATGTATCCTATCCGAGAACATCATGTTGTGTACCTTAATATACACATACAGTTTATTTTTTTGAACTAAATTTTTTTAAAAAAAGAATGAGTCTAAGGCAGCTTGAATTCATTCTTTTATTCATATAAGGGTAAACTTCTTGCAGAGCATTCTAAAGTGCCCTTATATGATCTCGTTAAATTCTACTCAATGGAATTAAAGTGATTTTTAGCGATGCCCAAAGGCATGCTGTCTAGACTAGAGAAAGAGAATTCTCCATGAGGGAAGGAAAAAATAATTGTCCTTATCTCTGTCCTTCTAAGGAAGCTCTTTCTGGAAAAGGGAAGTTCTGCAGCTGAATTGCCCAATTCCCTCTGCAGCCACCTGGTGACCAGTAAGCACTCATGCTACTTCTTAGAGCCATCAAGGATGCACTGAACCTGCCTCTGATTTCTTTAGGGTCGACCAGCACCCCCAACGACTTATGGTACAACTTCATCGAACTGCCCTACCACGGGGAAAGCGTCAGCATGCTGATCGCGCTGCCCACCGAGAGCTCCACCCCGCTGTCGGCCATCATCCCTCACATCAGCACCAAGACCATAGACAGCTGGATGAGCACCATGGTGCCCAAGAGGGTGCAGGTGGTCCTGCCCAAGTAAGTGGCCTCCCCCTGCAAGACAACAATAGGATCGTCCAACCAGTAGCTACCGTACTGGATACCAGACAACGTGACTCAAAAATATGGCACATCATGAAGCTTGTTTTATTTTGCATAAATTGCAAAGTGGGAATACCAGGCTGTGCTTTTCTAAAAGCTTTTTTTTTCTTTTTTAAATCCCTGCGCTGCTGGTTTGGTAAGATAATGATAAAAGAGAGAAGGCAGCTTTGGTCTCTGAACCTCTGTATAAGTACAAACTCTTCATGACACAATGATAGCTTTAAACATACCTCATTCTGTTCAAAAAACTTAAAAGCATATGTGTATTTCAAAAATACATGTGTGTTCAAAAGCCTGAAAAACATGTAGATGTAGTATAAATGAAAGTACAAGAAAGTTTAATAGAGTTCCATGAGTTTTGATAAGGAACTTCATTTTAGTTATTTCTTAAGTTTTAGCTGGAAGTTGCCAGCTAAGCCCAAAAGCTAGATGATAAATATTTTGAGACCATCCAGGCAGAATTCTTACATTTGTACCTAAGGCAATTTTTCTATTATACCCTAAAAGTAAAGTATAGAGGCCATTTGAACTGTATGACTTGAAGCCAAGGGAAAAGGAGTCCCAGACTTTATATGAATCCTAAATTTCTGAGAGGTCAGAGAATGCCTTGTCCAGACCTATGAGGGAGGCAATGAATGTCCCCTTTCTATGAACTTTCAACATCAGCTGTTCTCCCACTGTCCAGAGCTTCTAACAACCCAGGCCTCCATGGTACTGGAGAGTTCTAATAGCTTTTGATTCTTTAGTAACTGAGTTAAGTAATCAGTGTAATAGAGTCACAATAATTATTGGTAATTCTCCCATGATTATTATTATTTTTTGTGTGTGTGTGAAATTAAGCCTCCAACTAGGCAATGCGTGATATAAATGAATAAGATGATGGCATTGTAGGCCTCAGTGAGGAATAGGAGGAGGCACGCAGGATGAAATCAAAGCTGGGAAACCATCCTCTGACAATAGGTTTAATAATTGACATTTATATATCTATGGCCCCAAGGCCAGGTAGGGCACAGATATCCAAGAAACCCATATCATACCCAAATATAATACCATATCACCTATGCCTGATGTTTGCTCCTGCTTTAACAATAAAATGCTTTCAGAACCCCAACATGAACTATCAGGAATGTGTCGCCTCTCTTTTGGCCATCTCTAGTCCTATTAAGGATGATGTTTCTCACCACAGTCCAAATGGATGTGGGGAAGAACTGTAGTTAGATATGGGGAGCAACTATAGATATTGCAGAGTACTGGGATATCTCTGGATATAATAATACTCTGAACCTCCACATAAGACCTTATGATCTTGTAGATCTTCCCAAGTATTGGAACAGGGACCCTGTTGCAGGTGAGGGTGAGAATGCCCATACTTGCTGCTAGTATGTGCTGCTCATTTGCCAATTCAATGTTTGAGAGATGAGTTGTTGCCTACTTCCCTGGTGTTTAAATTTGGGGATTAAAACCTAAGAAACAATTCAGATCGGTGTTCAGATCTTACCTGCATCATTTATGGCCCAGTGATTTTTTCCCGTTATTTTCTGCTTTTGTGCCAGGTTCACAGCTGTAGCACAGATAGACTTGAAGGAGCCGCTGCAAGTTCTTGGTATTACCGAGATGTTTGATTCATCAAAGGCAAATTTTGCAAAAATAACAAGTATGTTCAATTTAAAACTTATTTGTATACTTGAAGAAAATGTTACAAACTGAGTCTTTGATTTGTTTAGAAGGAAAAGGTCAGAATTAGGGATGTGTGGCCCTAAAACTGTCCAAGGTTTAATTCGATAGCACCAAACGATACCATCACCTGTCATCACTTAAATCAGCATACTTCATTCTCCCTACATTTTGCGTGTACATTTCACGTGGTGCCCCAGTGACTACACAAAGAAGTAGTTCATATATTGCCTCTATTATTAATACTTAAAAACTAGGCTCTTCTTTAGATGTTAGTTTCTCTTTGTTTTCAAATGTGAACTCTTTTGTTTGAAAAAAAAATCAAGATTCTGAGCAAATACTTGCTTCTATCAGGCACATCGAGTGAGTTCACTAGAAGGTTCCTGAGGCGTAACTACGTTTCTGCATCCCATCCTCCACCAGAGTCTAAACTCTGACACTAACATGCCCGTAACATGAGTGGTGGTAGCTGTGGAAAGTCAGCACTTACTCTCCCACTAACTAGCTATACAAATCGGGGGCAGATTTCTTAACACTTTTGGCCTCAGTTTCCCCATCTGTAAAGGCTGCCTGAAATCCTCTCTGGGTCTGCATTCTGTGATTGAAAAATAATAGTGTGGCCTTGCTGCTTCTGGAAAATTGGGCTTGCTTTTTAAATCTCTGCTATTTTCTTCTTTTTATTTTTTTTTCATAAAATTCTACTGATCAGAATTGGACTGATAGAGGCATTAAAACATTTGGGGCCTGGGCTTCCCTGCCCAGAAGTGAGCATCACAGTTTACTTAGCAGGGACTGAAATTCACAAGTGACAGCTGTCTACAGCCTTCAGTCACCAGGACTGTCAGAGGTGGCATCTCCTCACTGTTTTTAATAATTGCAATTTGCCGTGGCTTTGAGGTTACTTCTCGAGCCAAATGATGACCTGTATATCACACAAATGCTGATTTTTTTTTTTATTTTCTGGAAACAGGGTCAGAGAACCTCCATGTTTCTCACATCTTGCAAAAAGCAAAAATTGAAGTCAGTGAAGATGGAACCAAAGCTTCAGCAGCTACAAGTAAGTGTTGGGGTGGCAGGGCTAGCTCTGGCAGGGAGGCAGCTACAAGTAAGTGTCCCATGGCAGGGCTAGCTCTGGCAGGGAGGCAGACACCATTCAGTCACCAATTTGACAAATATGTAATGAGCCCTATTTCCAGCCAGACACTGTGAGTTGACCCTCAGAAGAAGGCAGTGATGACAGCCAGATTGAAGACCTGCATCCAAGAAGTTCAGAATCTGTTTCATTAAAGACAAGCATGTCAGTGAGAGAAATTCCTCTAGAATAGGAGTCAGCAAACTTCTGTAAAGAGCCAAATAGTATATATTTCAGCTTTTTAGGCCATACTGTCTCCATGACAACATCTTACCTCTGCCATTGTAGCATGACAGCAGCCGTAGACAATACAAGTGAACCACGTGGCCATGTTCCAATAAAACTTTATTTATACAAACAAGATTTGTCCCCATAGGCTTGAGGACAGTACTTTGCTGACCCCTGCTCTCAGGAGGATAAAGCACATTCTGGCTTCTTACTTGAAGAAAAAAAAAAATCCAAAAAGAAAAAAAAAAACAAAAAACACATAGAAAAAAAGACAAAACGCCCTATAAAAAACAAAAAAAAAAAAAAGAGCCTATAGAAAACCACAACACGCCGATACACACCCCCCTGGCAAAAAGAAAACACCCACATCCGCTCTCTCTAGAGGGGTATATAAAAAAAAAGAAAAAAGAAAAAAATCAAAACAACACCCCCCCCCCCTTAATTATCCATATGAGATTGGATGATTAGATCTGGCAAAACTGTGTGAGCTCATAAAGTGAAAATCTTGCTACACTTGTAACTAGGTCTAATATTTCTGGTCATTAAAAGGTACCACTTATACTTTCCTTATTGCTTTTCTCAAATAAACATTTATTTTTTATTTCTTTAAAATAACATTTAAAACAAAGATCTAAAATAAGACAGCTGGAATTTTTAAGGTTCTCTTTGTCTCTTCTAGGCGATTGTAAGTGACATCTAAATTTGGCCAAAGTTATTGACCAATTTTGCCAGTTAGCATAACTATCAGGACCAGCTACATAATTTGTGGGGCTCTGTGCAAAAGGAAAATACAGAACCCCTTGTTCAGGATTTATCAAGAATTCTAAGATAGCAGTTGACAGTACTAAACCAAGCATAGTCTCTGTAAATGCCCGGGTCCTGCTATTGCTATCTTAGTCTACTTGGGCTGCCTTAGCAAAATGCCGTAGACTGGGTGGTTTAAACAACAGAATGGATAGTCTGGAGACTGGAAGTCCAAGATCAAAGTGTCAGCTTGTTTGGTTTCTCCTGAGACCTCTCTCCTTGGCTTACAGATGGCACCTCCTCACTGTGTCTTCATATCCCTGGTGTCTGTCCCCCTTCTAATAATGACATCACTCCTATTAGAATAGGACCCTACCCTTATGGCCTCATTTAGCCTTAATTACCTCCCTAAAGGTGCTGTCTCCAAATACAGCCACATTAGAGGATAGAACACATGAATTTTAGGGGAACACAGTTCAGTCATAACACCTACTATTTGTTTTTAATAACCCTGGGTGGAGTGGTTTGCCCCAGCATAACTGCAGCTGTTTCCTTTATAACATCACCCCCAAGTTGTCGGTGTTTCCCAGGGTTTTGAGAAAGAGGACTGAGCCATGGCAGCAGGCGTGTGGTAGGAAGGCCACACGCCTACCCTCCTTGCAGGCCTTGGCTCAGGCTTACTAAATGGAAGCCCCCACTGGTAAGCATGGCAGAGGAATGGCTAAGACCTGTGAGCCTAAAGACATTTGATATCTAAGTCAGATGCCTACACCTGATGAGTTCAACAGCAACGTAAGGTAGTAGGTCCCAGGTGCGTGGTCTGCATTGCCCGTGCAAAGGAAACCTAAATGATGTACCAAAGGAGAAAGGATAGGCAAAAAAGCTAAAAATTGGCTGAACTTGATATACACAAAGGATTTGGGTAGGCGAAAAAGGACCAGGGGGAGTCATCAGCAAAGCAGATGATGTGGATAAAAAACAGCTAATAATAACAGTGAATATGCATTGGGTGTTTATTTAGTGGCAAACACTGTTCTAAGAGCTTTAGCATGTTTTATGTCATTTAACCCTCATCGAAACTCTATGAGGAGTAAGTACGTTTATCAGAGAAGATGGTGCTTGTGTAGAATAAACGAGACAGTAATGTCAAGGTCCTGTCACACGTAGGTGCTCAATAGAGGGTGACTAGCGAGCCTGTTACAACACGGCCAGCCTATGGGACAGGCATTAAGTGTGTCCTCAAGCACCAGCACCTGAGGGTCCATCAGGCTGACTACCGTGCTGACTTCACACTGGGTCTCTGACACATTTCCCCTTTCTTCCCATAGCTGCGATTCTAATTGCAAGGTCATCGCCTCCCTGGTTTATAGTAGACAGACCTTTCCTATTTTTCATCCGACACAATCCTACAGGTAAGTGATTCTCCGCCTCTATTGTTCAAGTGTTTGATTTCAGAAAGGTATTTTGCAGTCATAGTCACATCCAACAGTGTTGCCCTTGATCCATTTTCCTTGTGTCAATAATCGCAAGCACTTCGAATAATATAGCCACCCACGTTAAACAGACAGGAAAATAAAAGCTGTGTTTATAGAGTGTGATGGAATCTTTTCAACACTGACAGAAACTTTAGGTTTTGGGGGGTTGTTGCTATTTCTAAAACCAACATTTGGGGCATTTTTGACATTTACTGATTTTTCCATATTTTTGTAAATGCAGTAAATTTTGCTGGAAGCTACATGTCTTCAACCTTTGTAAACCCACTCTATTGTTATCACCTGTGGATTGTTGACTCAGTAGATCTTGTGAGTCACGGGTTCAAACGTGGCTCTGGCCTTCAGCTTCATCTTTAAAATAAAGATACAATAGTTCCTACCTCTTAGTACAATTATGGAGTATAAGATTGTCTTTGTGGAGAGGTTGGCTTCATGTTGGTACAGAGTAGGCACTAATACATTTTAGCTTATTATCTTATTTGATTAGTAAAATAGGATAGTTCCTTTTATCTCGTTGCATCTTTAATGTCCTATGATTAGTGTGACCCAGAGCTAAGCAGTCCCATGTGGGAGCTTCTAGCCACATGTGGCTCTCTAACCTTAGCTTTAAAAATTCAATTTCTTAGTCACATTAGCCACATTTCAAGTGCTCTACGGCCACATGTGATTAGTGGCTACCATATTGGATGGTGAACATATAGACCATTTCTATCATTGCAGAAAGTTCTGTTCATCAGTACTACTAATAGTTTAAACATGGCTCCTTCCACCACCACCCCATCTTAAATATAGTACCTGCCATCTTATTTTAATAATTATTCACTTACAGAGTCATACATTGTCTCCTTTTAATTTTGTAGGTGCTGTCTTATTCATGGGGCAGATAAACAAGCCCTGAAGAGTATACAAAAGAAACCATGCAAAGACTACTTTGCCATGAAGAAAAGACTCCTTTCCTACATCTTTCATAGTTCTGTTAAATATTTTTGTACATTGCTTTCTTTCTCAAAACTAGTTCTTAGGAACAGGCTCAATGATGCAAGCATTTCTGTTCTGAGAGGTATTAGAAGGAAAAAAGGGCAGGATGACTGGAACACTGTACTGAGGAATGAATAGAAAAGCTTCAAAATGTCTAAAAGATTCTTTAAACTACTGAACTGTTACCTAGGTTAACAGCCTTCTTGAGTATTTGCTGTCTGTCCAGTTCAGGATTTTTGTTTTGTTTTGTTTATATGTGCAGCTTTTGAGAAGAAATTTAATCAGTGTGACAGAAAAAGGAAAAAAAAAAGATGTTTTATGGTAGCTTTTACTTTTTTATGGAAAAAATATTATTTGCCATTTTAATTCTTTTCCCCACCCCCATCCAAAGTCTTGATAGCAAGCATTATTTTGGGGGTAGAAGTAGGAAATCTCTAGCCTCTTTGTGTGTTTTTGTTGTTGTTTTATATAATGCATGTATTCACTAAAATAAAGTTTAAAAAACTAATGTCTTGCTAGACAAGGTTTGCTGTTGTGCAGTGTGCCTGTCACTACTTGTCTGTACTCTTTGGAGTGGCATTTTTGTATTTTGTACAAAGTAAAAATAAAGTGTTATGAGTAGTAAAAAAAAAAAAAGCCATTTCTCTACTATTTGGAAATACAACAAAAGAAACTGAGACTGTTTTAAAAAATATATTTCAGCCTATTGTAATAAACCTTTGCACTTAGAAAAACATCAGGAAATTCAGAGCCCCTGGACTTTTCCTCTTTTTCTGTAAACCTGGCAATCAAACACTTCTGTTTTTACATCCCTTCAAAGGAGTAACTCTTACAACAATCCTAGTTCTAAACTTAACTTCAGTTCTCTCCAGCAATGGCAAAGTATTCTCAGCAAGGATAGGGATTTTATAGCAAGCACAGAATGCAGTTGCTGGGTACTAATGCACTTTGAAAATCTGAGGGAACAGTGAATGTTTCATTTTTTTGGTGATAGGCTGTAGTGTTTTCTGAAATGACCATTTTTGGCTTGGGATTAACTTTCCTAGTTGAACTCAAATATCATAATTCTAATGTTACAACATTTGCCTGATTTTTTTCATTAATTTCTTAAAGATTTGTGTATCCTTACCTGAATCAGAATGGTTTAAAACATTTATCAAAACTTCAAAGCATTTATTTTTAGCTCACAAGCTCTGCTTGTCACTCTTTATACATTAAAACCTCACATTCAACACTCCACCAGTTTGCCACTTGTAATTCTTATTTGTAAAGTGGCCTGAGCTTTGCTATTGGCAACTATTTAATTATGTGCACTTTGGCTAACCAAGAGAGAAGGGAGAAAGGGGAGAACTATTTTCCTTATTTAGGAGTAAATGCCAAAGAACTCTTTTGAAGGGCTACCTCAACCCACATCTATTCTAGCAAACATGCCAAAAGTTAGTAATGCTTTTTAGAGCCAGTCAGACTGGGTTTTCCAGTATTCTGCTCTGATGTAGTTATATTATTTTCAATACTTTAAAATAGTGACAGTGTTGGCAGTAAAATGAGAATTATATACTCCATTCATTCATTCATTCATTCAAGTTCTCTGTAGGTCAGGGTTCTCCAGAGAAACAGAACCAGTAGGATACAGATATATTATAGCTACATAAGAGCAGATTTCGTGTGGGAATTGGCTAATGCAATTATGGAGGCTGAGAAGTCTCATGATGTGGTGTCTGCAAGCTGGAGAAACAAGGGAGGCAGTGGTGTAGCTCAGCCCAAGTCTGAAGGCCTAAGAACCCGGGGAGCCAGAATGCCACCCTTAGTCCAAGGCGAAGGCCTGAGAACCTGGGGTCCACTGGTGTGAGTCCTGGGGTCCAAAGGCCAGAGAACTTGGGGGTTTGATGTCCCAGGGTAGGAGAAGATGGGTGTCCCAGTTCCAGAAATGGGAGTGAATTTGCCCTTCCTCTGCCTTTTTGTTCTATCTGGGCCCTCCACTCATTAAGATGGCGCCCACCAACATTGGGTGAGGGCAAATTTTCCTCGCTCTCTTCACTGATTCAAATGCCAGTCTTTCCCAAAAACACCCTCACAGACATACTTAGAAAGAATGCTTTACCAGCTATCTGGGTACCCCCTAATCCAGTCAGGTTGACACCTAAAATTGACCATCACAAGTGTCTACCAGTACCAAGTACTAGAAGAAGCAGAGATAAACATACACTTTCCCTAAGTAATTTAATCTTGAAGGGGAGAGAGACAGTCCCAGCACAGCAAAATAGCTCCCTACTGTAAGAGTGTTTACAAGACGTGGAAGCAGGACAAAGTGAGTGTGAGAGACGATGTAAAAGTGGCTGCAGGGCCACAGATCGCTGGGCTCCTGACTCCAGCAGTGCTCATTCCAGAAATATTGCCAAAAGGAGTGACCCTCTTATGTGATACAGATGGGCTGCTTCCCAATAGTATATTGGTCACATTTTGCTGGGCACATTAAAGTTTGAAGTGTCTGGTCCCATTTCTGAGTACCTCTTTGATTATTAAAGTTTCAAATGTACAATATACAGAACTTAGAAAAATTATAATATCAAGGTTCTCAGACTATATATCCTATTTTCACTTGATCCTTCCAAGTTATTCATCTTCATACCTTCATCATCTATCAACACCTAGATTCTGATCCTGCCTGACTTTTGGAACCTCTTTATAATCTCTGCACTAGGAGAGAAAGTTCTTCTTAAATTTTTTTTATATACTTCAACTTTTACTTTTTGATATGCTTAAGTCGATGTCTGTAGGCCTTATCTTACTTCAAAGTGATCAAATTTATGAATACTTCTTTCCTTGAAGAGAACTGGAATAAATTTAAGATATGGAGACTGCCATAAAGATTACAGGCCTGAGCTAGATCACTTTTGCTATGTAGTCATGTTTGGGCAAAGAATTTATCATATAGATTAGAGGTCACTGTGAGTTTAAACAGGAGACAGGCTGCAATTTTCCTAAAGTAACAAAATGGTAGAGCTATGGAAAAACTGAGGCCACAACCAGTGAATTCACTTTTGACACTTAACAAGATGAGTTCTTTTGCCTGAGACACAATGAACAAAGAGAGTAGGCACTGACCCAAATACATTGGACATTCTGTCTTTCTGGCCTTGGAGTCTCTGTTTTGAAAAGGTGATGACAGGTGACCTGAAAAAAATCCCAAACATAAGAGAACTCTACAAAAAGGAACAAGGGAGTGGCCTTTGTGCCGGTAACTCTTTGTTTTTCTGAAAATGAAAAACAGAATGACACATTAAGTTGTCTAAAAAACTGAAGTAAGAACAGCAAGGATTTGCTCTGAGCCAGCAGAATAGCAAATGGCCACTTCCTGGAACTGCTCAGTGTGACAGCTGGGAGAGAGGTAAGAGCTAAGTAAGCTGGCAGGTGACTTCTAGGTCCTCAACCTCCGGTGAATGTTGAAAGACACACTTGTGGTTTGCTATTCAGAATCCACCTGGGGAGGCCAGAGGGTGGAAGCCACTGCTGGCTTTACAGCCCCATTTCTTTGGAGATTCCCAAACTGCTCCCTTGACTCTCTCGAACCTTGAAGAAAAAGAGAGACAGACATTATGATTTAAATGAAAATTTTGCTAAATGAGAAATCACTGTTCATCGTTGTATCAAGTATTAATACATGGTGTTTGGAGATTAAACTATTGAATATTAGGTAGCAAAATGGGAATGAATTTATTTCTTAATGCTATACCTCCTTCATTTGAAGTTTATAATCCCACCTACCAAGGCATGGCAGGCCTTTGTTCCTGTCCCTTCTAGACAAAAAAACAATCCTAGGACCAAGAACTGAGTCCTGGGGGCAGATTGTCAGGAGCCCCATGAACACCATTGTCAAGTTCATTCATCTCATGATGGTCAGCTGAGCTTTGCTACATTTGTCTTATTCACTGCACAGTCTACTGCTGAATGTCTCCAGGCACTTACTGACATGTTATCTTGGTTTGAAGAAGCTGACATTAATAATTTAAGTGGAAGAAACATTATCAAAAAAGCAAACTCTTCTAACTTAGAAATAGCCTCCTCTAACTCTCAGTGACCTCATTACCTGTCTTCTATGAAGAGAATCGGAACATAACAAACTCAGTTCATTTGCAATTTTATTATTCAACAGCTCTAGAAAAATGGTATTCTATAAATAATCAAATAACAGAGTTCTTCCTCAGTTGAAGGGGGAATAAGTTAGTGTTTTTAATTTTCTCACTTGTTTTTCTCCTCCAGTTTTTCTTAAACCATTAGTCTTCTGTTAGTGAACATTAACAGGAAGGCAGATAACTGAACAAGAACAAATGCGGGGTGGGAGCGGGGAGGAGGGGATGGGTATATACAACCACAATAAGTAAGATGGGCAATGTTTGGGGAATAGACACTCTTGAAGCTTTTCTGGAGGGGGGAGTGGGGCATGGGCAATATACGTAACCTTAACACTTGTACCCCCATAATATGCTAAAATTTAAAAAAAAGTAAAAAAAAAAAAAAAAAGAACAAATGCTTGTGATTGTGATTTCTGATTGCATGAATTCTTGGAAAACTGTGGGGTATTTTGTTTGTTTGGAAGATAAGATTAAATCTAGCAATCATTTTTGGTATTGTAGGGAGAACCATGGCATTTGAGTGATACCCAGCCAAAAAGCCACAGCTCTAGGTCCTAGAGGACGATGGTCAAGGGTCTTCACAAACTGAGATTCAGAGAGATGATACAGGGATCAGCTGAGGGGAACAGAAACCAACATGGGCTTTATGCTGCAGAACTTGGGCAGCAAGCTAGCAGCTGAATGCCCTCAGTGGGTGTCCCTGGAGGGGTATGGGCAGGGGTGGGTGGAGGGATGCGTGAGCTGGCGTGAGCTCTGTGGAGAATGTCTACATCTGGTTTTAGGAAGTGTTAAGGTGGACAAAGGATTTCCTTGTCTCTGCAGCGCATTTTCTCTTATCAGAGAAAGTAGGGAGAAAGAAGCAGCAAGAAGAGGCCAAAAAAGAAATGTCTTAAAATTTTAATCTATGGCAGCCCTACAATTTTCCCTCTTTCCAATGAATATAAAAAAAACTCAAATATCCATGTTTTGTCATCAGAGGTGAATTGAAGGGAAGTGGGCTAGCTCCTGTAAACTCCTAGAATATTAGAGCTGTAAAGGGCCTTGAAAAGTCATATTTCACTGTAATTGTGTGCCATATACAAGCACAATCTGCTGTACAGGCAGAAGTGTTTCTCATTAATGGCACGTTGCGTGCTAAACTGTGCAGGATTAGAGCACCACCTTGTGGCCAAAATCAGTATAGTTCTGACACAAAAACAGGTCCCATTTGTTCAATTTTTTATTATTATAAATATAGTTTCTAGTTCACTTTCTCATGACCACATAAAGCACTTTGAGAATAATGATCACTGTACATATGCATATAATAAAAACAGTATGAATTTAAAAGAATAGGGTTTATGTAATTGAGTCTATTGATATTAATTTTACATTTTTGCTTATGGGAATTTTTGTGCAATCACACTTTGGGCTTAGAATTGGAGAGTGGGAAAAGGTGGGAAAGGAGGTCAGAATTTCAAAGTAAATGACTAATATCTTCCTCTGCTGCCAACCCAACTTCAAGGATCGGTGCTTCTATATCCCAACAACTTCTGTATGGTCTTACAACTGTCTTCTCAATATGGTTTAGGCATTAGTCAAAAAGCTAGTCCTCCAAATGGTCATTGAATGCTCTTGGTCACAAGCCCCATTTGATCACACCCTTGTATAAACATATTCCTTTTGCCCATAAATTATATCTGAGTGTTTATTCTCACAGGACAAATCAAATAGTTATCCAAAGACTGGTTCCAAGTTTCAAGCTATATCACATGGAACTGCAAATGTATGTTAATTTTTCTACATTCCAGCCCACCATATTTCAATGGGTGCTTTTAAAAGACACAAGTTAACAATTTAAGTTCAGAGAAGACATTACTTAGAAATATGTTGAAATCGCATTCTTTATAAGGGATATGGATCTTTACTTGCAAAGTAGTTTTAAGAACTAGAGCTAGAATTGTTCCTTATATAAATCTAGCAGTATTTAAGGTTTAGAGGGTCCTCAAACTACAGCCTGCGGGCCACATGCGGCCCGCCAAGGACATTTATCTGGCCTGCCAGGTGTTTTTGCCGCTGCTGCCTGTCCAGCTTAGCAGCCGACTAGTCCCGGGCCCACAGTGCACATGTGTGGAATGTGCACCGCACTCTCCAACGGCCCTTCAATGGTCTGAGGGACAATAAATTGCCCCCCTGTTTTAAAAGTTTGAGGACCCCTGGAAGCTTGAAAACCTAAAGTCAAGGATAGTTCCCCTCCAAACTTCTAAGTTAAGATTCTGCAAACTGTCCTGAGCAGGAGATGTTGGGATTCTACTATCAGCACTCCTTATTGGGGGGAGGTGGTGGGGAAAGGATTACTACTTTGCAAATAAATCCTAAAAACTTTTTTTAAAAGTTCATCTAAAAAAAAAATTAGAATTGTACTCTAGCTAGATTCTGCCATTTCATATTCACTGGATAAGTGGTTAGAAGACATTTACTTGTCTTTTGCTTCCCAGAAACTTTCATTATACATAATCTCTTCTCCTACTGTATCAATGAGATGCTTATCAAATCACGTTTACTTCACTAGGGAAATGCTTCGAGACATTGGTCTGAGCAATGATTTCTTGAGTAATACTCCCCAAAGCACAGGTGACCAAAGCAAAATTGGACAAACAGCATCACATCAAGCTAAAAAGCTTCTGCACAGCAAAGGAAACAATCAACAAAGAGACAACCCACAGAATGGGAGAAAATATTTGCAAACTACCCATATGAGAAGGGATTAATAACTAGAGTAGATAAGGAGCTCCCACGACTTAATAGGAAAAAACAATCAATCAGATTTAAAAAATGAGCAAAGGATCTGAATGGATATTTCTCAAAGGAAGACACACAAATGGCCAAAAGGTATATGAAGAAATGCTCAACATCATTAATCATCAGAGAAATGCAAATCAAAACTACAATGAGTTTTCATCTCACCCCAGTTAAAATGGCTTTCATCAAAAAGGTGGTAAAAAATGCTGTTAGTGGGAATGTAAATTAGTGCAATCACTATGGAGAACAGTGTAAAGATTCCTCAGAAAACTGAAAATAGAACTACCATGTGAGCCAACAATCCTGCTGCTGGGTATATATCCAAAGGAAGGAAAATCAGTATATCAAAAAGATGTCTGCACTCCCATGTTTATTGTAGCACTATTCATAATAGCCAAGATATGGAATCAACCTAAATGTCCATCAACAGATGAATGGATAAAGAAATTGTGATATATATATACACACACACACACAATGGAATATTATATAGCCACAAAAAGAATGAAATACTGCCATTTGCAATAGGATAGAACATGGATGGAACTGGAAAACGTTAAGCAAAATAAGCCAAGCACAGAAAGATAAATCTCCCATATCCTCACTCATATGTGGGAACTAAATCTTAAAAACAATTGATTTCATGAAGACAGAAAGTAAAATGATGGTTACCAGAAGCTGAGAAGGGTAACAGGGAGGGGGACATAAAGTAGGGATGGTTAGTGAGTACAAAAATATGGTTAGATAAAATGAACAATATTTGATAGCATAACTAAGTGACTATAATCAACAAGTTAGGGTGTACTTTAAAATAACTAAAAGTGGAAATGCAATGTTCCTAACACAAAGACATGATAAATGCCTGAGCTGATGGATATCCCAATTACCCTGACTTGCTTCACACTGTATGCCTGTACCAAAACATTACATGTACCCCATAAAGATATGCAACTATTCTGTATTCATAATTAATTTTTAAAAAATAGTAAAAAGGTTTTTTCCATAAAAAAAGTTTACTTGTGAATGACACTTAAGTGGCATTTTACTACTGGGTTTGGTCTTCTATCCTTGTGTTTAATTAGGAGTTAGAGTTATAAGGTGAAATACAGTTGACCCCTGAAGTTAAGGGTGCCAACCCACTATGTAGTCAAAAATCCACATATAACTTTTGACTCCCCAAAATCTTAGCTACCGGAAGCCACACTGATAACATTAACAGTTGACTAACATATTTCATTTTATATGTATTATGTACTATAATCTTACACCAAGGTAAACTAGAAAAGAAAATGTTAAGAAAATCATAAGAAAGAGGAAATATATTTAGTGTAAATGCATCATCATAATGGTCTTCATCCTTGTAGTCTTTATATCGAGTAGGCGGAGGAGGAGGAAGAGTTGGTCTTGATATCTCAGGGGTGGAAGAGGCAGAAGAAAATGAACATTAAGTGGATTCACGCAGTTCCAACCCATGTTGTTCAAGGGTCAACTGCAACTTACAACCTACTAATTCAGCCTACTAGGTAAGTTTTCCCCTCCAAAAGCGGGTCCCTGCTTTACCTGTGATAGCTGTAAACCTTCTTAGATATGACTCAAGTTCCACTTTCCTAGCCAGTCTCAGGCAATGAGTTTCAAAGGTCTTTCATCTTTCTTTATAAAAAGATTCCATGGCAAAAGTGTTGTTGGTATAACATTTTATCTCTTTTCTATTCTCAACTCTCAAGTCCTGTTTTTCTTGTAAAGCCCTGGAAGTAACTACTGACAGACTGAAACTAAAAATTATTACTATTGCCAAGTGAAACAGGAATAAATCAAATGGAAATTGAAGTTGGAGGATTGAACTGAACACAAAAGATTAAAGAACCAGGACACTCTCTACTGAATTAAATGTGTTCCAATATTTACAACAGTGCTTGGTACATACTATACCATGATTATAGAATACTAAATTAAATTGACAAATACTTTATTTTTTCATTATCTTCAACATTTTAAGCTGGTTTTGAGTTTTGATTTCTTAGAAAAAGCAATTTCTTGAAACCATAAAATTTACCTATTCTGCCATTTATTTTATAGAAACGAAGTTAACTAAGAAACATATCAGAAATACAGAATTTTAAACAGAAACTAGAGATCATGGAAAGAGCTGTCTAGTTATAATCTATATCTTGCATTTCTAAGAGTTGTGTAACATTGCTACTTTAATTGAAATTATATTAGAGAAGCAAAGTTCATCAACCTCTTATCATTCCCATGTCTATCAAACTACAATGTACCATTAAGAGAAAGAATAACTTTATTAATATTACAGCACAAAATTCACACAAGACATATATTCAAATTATAATATCTCAAAGCTAAAGGGGAATAAAATATACCTAACTATACAAATTCTGTACAATAGTGAAATAAAAAACTTTAGGAAAAATCTCTTGGAAAAAATGTTGAAGAATAACTTTTGATTGAACAAAAAACATTTTTAAAAAACAATACCAAAAATACTGTGACTTGGATAATATTTATTTAATTTTAGAACACAGTACAAAGATTAAGATGTATTTCTTTACAATTCTGAAAATGTCTAGCTTGAAACACCTTTGACATTTGTCTCATTGTTTTGCTCACAAAGTTTGGGTTGACTGGCTAGCTGACAGTGATGGTCTTTTGTGCTCTCAAGTCCTCTTTGGGCTTGGAATAGTCCCAGGGCCGTCTGTTCTCTGTGAATCCATAAAGTTTTCTAAGTGCCACCCGAGCAGCTTCTTCTTCTGCAACCAGTATTGTTTCCCCAGGTCCTTCTGCAATCAACTTTTTATCACTAGAAAGAAAACAAAACACTAGTCTTAAATTGTGTAGTACACAGTAACACCCAGGACACAAAGCAGTTATGTCTTGTAAATCTTATTTTGATAACAACACACACCAGACACAATGCAATAGCTTTAGATACATCACCTTTTAGATTTTAACTAGTTTCATTGCAAGTTCATTATCTATGGTAATTAGACAAAGATTCATTGACATTTCCAGAGAAATACAAACAACTTTTTAGGCTCAGTATTTTTGAAGGCAAAAAACCAACACATACCTATGTAAGTATGGGTTTAACTGCTGATAAGAAAACTGGAAAAATATATCTTCTTATAAAAACCTGAAACTATTATAAATATTCAGGAACTATAACTAAATTATTTTTAATTCATTTTGAATGTTTGAATGTGTAATATAACTTAAGGAGAGATTCTGTTAAAAAATTGTGCCTTTTGAGTTTGTCATTTAAACATTAACACAAATGAGAAATCGGTTCTACATTTTAAATTGAGAACTTCAGATTCAAAACTGGCTAGATTTAAAAATCATTTTCTATATCTATAATCCACCCTAATTTACTCCCAAAAGACAGAGGTAGCACAGTAAACATTAAATGCTGGCTACCAGTGTTCTACTAAAACTAGATAAAACTAAAACAGGTATTCCTCTGCTTTAGTGATATTTCTCTTATCATAATTAGCTATCTTCTTTAAAAAGGTAAAAATGCTTCTGCAAGGAGGGCAAAGAGTGTACACATTAAATAAGTATAAATCCTATTTGTTTTGTTACTTCTTTAACTGCGCATTTCCTGACCTAAAATTTCACCTATGCAATTAAAAGAAGCATCTTTCTGAAAGTTTCAGTCACAGCAACTCCATTTAATAACTGGGATTTAATGTAAGTCAACTTGAAAGTAAAGACCACCAGAACTAAATTAAAGAAAAATGAGTGAAGCTACACAAGTAAAAGAACAATATGGAAGGAATTTGCTAAAACACATGCTATTTAACAGTAATTTGAAATTAAATAGTAGTTAATCACATAAGTTAAACTTCATAATAATAAACACAAACATATTCATACAAAGTGAAAAATAGAGAAAATCACCTAACAGTAAATTTAATGCAGATTTATCATGTCTTTAGTCTAATGATGTTGATTATATTACTGATCATCTTTTAAAAATCTAGAAAAAAACTACACCCAAGACAATCACTGTCAGTAATATGTAATATGGCAAATTATTTCACACTTTTTTTTTTTTTAGAGAAAAAGATCATTTTCCCAAATTTCCCAATGTCATTAAAAATTCTTTTCAGAATGTCGCCTGTAATAGCTGTACTATTATTCCATCATGTGCATATATCATTTCTCTTGTGTTGGATACCAAACTTATTTTTCATTTTTATTAGTTCAATAATATTTACTGACCACCATGTCTCCCAAGAACCATTCAAGGTATGGGGTAGAAAAAACGTAAAAAAGAAATAACACCTTTGTTCACAAATTTTTGTCTGCAATCTTAAGACAGACACCAAAAGTAGAAATACCAAATCCAAGTATATGCAAGTTTTAAAGATTCTTGACATTCTGTTGAAATTATTTGCATAATATTGTACGTTTTTCTCTTCTACTAGCACTGTATGATTGATGATAAAAGATGTATTTAAGGTTTTCCAATATGATAAGCAAAAAAAGTGTATCTCATTGTTTTGGCTTTGTACTTCAATTAAAACTGAAGATGAAAATTTTTACAACACTATACATTTTCTTTTTGGTTATGTTTTTCATTGCTTTCATATCCATAAGTCTTTTGTGATAAGAAGATTAGAAAAATGCTTAAATTTTAATTTAGCTATCTTAAATATTCAATGTTTACTTTTAACATTTTAATCTTAATACCTGAAATTAATTTTGGGCACTTTTTATTAACAAAACTAAAAAACTTTTTATGGATAACTAAGCCCTTCCTTTCCCAGCTCTAGGCTCAGCTGAAGCCGCTGACAGAAATAGATTAAGGTTAAATCTGTAACAAGTAAGAGTCAAAACTTATACTTTTACATGGAAAAACTTAAGTTAACATATAGCCTATGAAAATCTATAACAGTTAGCCAACAAAAGTTACCATTAGCAAAACACAGATTACTTGCCTTCCCCTTAAGAATGACTGGCAGAAAAGGAAGTAATATTAATATAAATAGATAATCATGAGGAAGAGATTTTTAAAAACTTTTTATTGTACTTAGAGGCTATATAAAGGAATTTGAAGAGGTTATGTTAAGGAATGTCGACATTCCTTATGTTATGTTGTGGAATGTGAAGAGTTTGTTTTTAAGGCTTCCAATCAAAATTATGAAGTTAAGATTAAAATTTTACTAACCAGTATAAGCCAACAAAATACAAAGGCAAAACTGTGGTGCTTCCAGACTGCCTAATAAGTCTAGGTTCAGGAGTTGAAATATTCCTTTTCTTCAATTCTTCTAACAATAGGCCCATGGGATTTATTATCTTCCACATCTCAAAGAGCTCTTTTCCAGTCATTTGGGTAATTAAGAAGTCCTGCATATAAAAATACAATTTATACATTTAAATTAGTATAAAAAACATTAAGACCATAATTCAAAGTCCTTTCTTTACCCTGTTTGAATGATAAAAACCACAAGGTATATATTTTTTTATTTTTGTGATTTTTTTTCCTTCATCTTTATTTTGACAAGGTATATTTTTAACAGAAATTTAAAACTTAATGGGAAAAAAATAGACAAAATGGGCTATTTTTTTTTCATTCCCATAGTTTTTTCACATAAATTTTATTACAAAAATCATAGTTGTATAAAAAATTTTGAAAGCCTAAGAAAATTGTCTATTTTAAGCAATATGATGCAGGAGAATTCCATATAAGGTAAAATCCTATCTTATACTCCTACCAGTAAGAAAAAAGATTTAAAAAGTTAAATTAATGAATAATAAAGACTATAAACTTTTGGCAGAAACTCACATAAAAAGGCATTCAGGACCTCTAGATAATACTTCCTCCATTAAATTGATGATTTTTTTTAAAAAAAACATTTAAATAATAATTTAACATAGACTGCCTTTTAAATCTACAATTTATTAATACTTCTTTATAAGACTAAGAAAACAAACTATGAACATTCAAAGCAGAATTCATTTTGCCAGTAAGAAATTTAATTATGTTGAATAGAAACTATAGAAACAAACATTAATTTTCACAGCAATTTATATCATTAACTTATGTCAACAAACGTTAGTAATATGGTAACAGGATGGGTAAATGAGGGCAGGAGGGAAGAAATTTTAAATGATCGCTTAGTTTATGAAATAAAAGCAATTTCATTACAACAATCCTCCAAGCACTAAAACTCTACTTTAGCTCACTTAATAAAAAATATTTATTAAGTCCATTCTCAGTGGGGGATGTTGAATGTTTTAATGTACAGAGGTAGAGGTGTATAAGCACATATACATGAATCACTGAACTGTCATCCACCATACTGAATAACCAAATGTAGGGTAAGGAACAACTCTTTTCCAATGCCTAACATATTAATATTAGGAATAAAAAAAGAAATCTCAACTTTTCTGGTGTGATTACCTTCTACCACATCCTATTTTTTCCTATTTTCTCCTGGTTTTATTAATTTCTCATGAGAACTTTCAGTAGGCTGTGGGTTGAATATTCTAATCCCATCTCCCCAGGATAGGGAGGCTATATGAAGAAATGATGTTCTAAAATGCACATTTGATCATAGAAATCTCCCACTTAGAACTCTTCCAGCTGTCTCTAAACAAGATCATTAAATACATCTTTAGTATGGCTAACAAGAGTGCTGCTCAAATTTCCAGGTGCAGAAAAATCACCAAGAGAGCTAGTTAAAATACAGATTCCTACGCCCTACTCCCAGAATGTACTCTGAGGTGGTGCCTGATGAAGTGCATTGCTAACAAGTTCTCGGTGATGCTAGTGATACTAAGCATCCAAACCACTTTCTGAGTAACAATGTTACATATTCTGTATACTGGCCCTTAAAGGTTCATCTCTGACCACTCCTCCAGATACAATATGATAAAGCCAGGAAAGATTAATTGCAGTTCCCAAGCACAAGCTCATCCTTGACGCATCTTCTTTGTCCTTTTTAGGGGCAAATGTCACTTCTGTAAAACCTTCCCTATCCTTACGAGACAGAGTTGGTTGCTACCTTCCGAGTTCCCTCTGAACCGTACTACTACTATGAAAGCACTTCCCACATTCCACTCCATCTGCCTCATGAGTTGTGAGCAGGAGCGATTCCTATTTAGTCTATAACTCCAGAGCTCAGCAGAGTGCTTGGCACATAATAAGACACTCAACATTAGGTGGATAAATGAATGAATGAATGAAGATAATCCAAACCTGTCAATTCTACTACAAGAGACACTAAAGCTCTTGACTTAAAAATAGACATTTGAATTACCTATGTTTAATTGCATCTTTAAATAGAACTGTTAACAAGGCACTACATTATGGTAAACAAGTATTTCCAAAACGGTCTCATGACTACCTTGTGGAAATTTCAAAGTCATAGCCAAATATTGTTTAGACAGTTTTAAAACCCAACAGAAGATACAAGGATAAAGAGAATAGAAATCAAGGAGCACTTTGAGAATTTCTTTAGAAAAAGCTATCTAACTAGGGAAGGAGGAAGACAGGTCTTACCAATCAATGAACAAAGTTTGAAGTGTTGGTAAATACAGATATCATTCTCTAACAATTTGGTATCAAAATGAAATAGATTCCAACAACATGTGTGCTGGTTTAAAGAACCTGACATTCAAACGTCTCAATAGAGACTGTTTTTATTACTTAAAAAGATCGTGTGGGCACTCTATTATTGGAGCGTGAACAAAAACTCATGTTCTCATCCAACGGCAGAGGATAAAACTTCTCCCAGTTAATAAATTTTAAAAGAACAGCGAAAGTCAAAATGTACAAGTTATGTAAGAATTTTAATTAGCTAAGATACTAGCTAACAAATAGTTATTTATCACAAAGACTGGGAAACCCAAGATTAATCACTTGGAAAAGCAGAACAGCTGCTCATACTTAAGCATGGAGCTCCTAACCACAGTGTGCCTTTGCATAGTGTCCTTTGGCCTCATTCATTCACCAAACATCTACCGAATATGTGCCATGCAGGAGACTATCCTTGGCCCTAAAAATGTAAAGTTAAAGATGACATGGCTTGCAGTCCTTCACAAGTCACAACCCAGAATTTCATGTTCACTTCTGATGTGAGGACAGTTGTCAATAAGAGACAGCTGGAATAATGAAGGCCCTAGCAGAAAGCTTTAGGTCTTTTTCAGTTTTTCTTGGGAGAAAAAATCACTTCCAATGTGATATAGCAAGAAAATGAATTACAAAAGGAAATTTTTCCTTCTCTCCACCTCAAGCATGTGCAATTAATAATTACCTACCCTGATGAAAAGTGCAGCCCTCTCAGGTCCACTGCTCTGTAGGAGGGCTCCAATTACTGCAAAGAAAGTGCGCTGTAATACAGGCAAGGGAACTGGGAATTCGGCACTCAGCGTTAACTGCTCCACAGCCAAGTTCCTAGCAACATGGCAAACAATTTCCTCACTAGTGAGAAAGTCAACAAGACCTTTGATGCCTTCAGTGGGCAAGTCGGGGTACTCGTCTTCAAGAAATTTCGTGAGGCAAGTTTGTGAAAAAGATTTCCCTTGTTCAGATAGTTCTTGATTACATTTAAGATTCAGAAGAAGAGCTTCTTTCTCTATCCCAAGTTTTTGCCGTTTGGCTTCCTCACTTTTAATATAGCAGCTATTAACAAATGCAGTTTTAAGAAGATCTAAGGAAAAGGTTTCTTGTAACCGAGGTCCGAAGGCTTGTATTTCAGCATGGTAGTCCCAGTTGGGCTTCTCTGAACTGAAAACATAAAGACAGTAAGTGATGGTAAAGAGAACAAGTTATTATGTAAAAATTTTTCTTTGTGAGGCCAAATGTGGTGGCTCACACCTGTAATCTCAGCACTTTGGGAGGCTGAGGTGGGAGGATCACTTGAGCCCAGGAGTTGGAGGTTAAAGTATATGACAGCGTCACTCTTTTCCAGCCTGGGTGCTAAAGCAAGACCCTGTCTCATTAATTATATAAAGGAAATGAAAAAAGATTGTTTCTTTTTCATGCCAGGCTCTGCTAAGTATTAAAACTTAAGTCAGATGAATACTGGCAACCCTTTGCTATAGTCATAGTTGGATTAATTTTCCCTTTGGCCCAACTGCCATTAAGCCATTATCCTAACTTTTAGGTTCCTTATTTCTCTTTTAACCATGGAACTTATGCTTTACACCTAGGTATGAGACATAAATTTTAACTTCACAGATTCAGGACACAAACATTAAGTACATCATATTTATAGTTGCTCCTTGATATCCATGGGTGAATAGTTGCTAGACCCCCCTCGTATACCAAAATCCAAGGATGCTCCAGTCCCCTATATAAAATGGTGTAATACAGGCATATCTTACTCATTTTATTGTGCTTCACTTTGTTACACTTTGCAGATACTGCATTTATTTTTTTTACAAACTGAAGATTTCCAGTAACCTTGCCTGTGCTTACTTTGTGTCAGCAGTTTTAGCAATAAAGTATTTTTTAATTAAGATATGTGGATTGTTTATTTAGACATAATTCTATTGCACACTCAACAGACTACAGCATAAACAAAACTTTAATAAGCAACATATCAAAAAAATCCATGTTATTCGCTTTATTGCGGTGGTCTGGAACCAAAATCCAAAATATCTATGAGGTATGCCTACATTTGCATATAATCTATCCACATCTATCTCTAGATTACTTGTAATATCTAATACAATGTAAATGCTATGTAAATAGCTGTTATACTTAATTGTTTAAGGAATAATGACAAGACAAAAAAGTCTGTACATGTTCAGTACAGACATAACCATTTCCCCCCCAGTATTTTCGATCTGTGGTTGGCTGAATTCCCACATGCAGAAGCCACAGATACAAAGGCTAACTGTATTTTGTATTTTATTAAGTTTTGAAAATATCCATTTAAATCAGTAATTAAATAATCTGGCATCACTCTATGATAAGTAGGTTAAAAGTTCATAATCATTTCCAAGAAGAAACTAAAATCATTTTTTTTAAAGAAGATAAACCCAAAATAAAGCCCTTTTAAGTAAAAAAGATAAAGTAAGGATAAAGCAGTAAAGGATAAAGATCTGGTTGAAATTCACAAGATCTACATAATATATAGACTTATATAATCTATACAATCCATAAAGTTTCTCCCAACTTTAAAAGCCTAAAATACCTAACTTTATAATATGTAAGGAAATGTGAATTAAGAAGAGATTTTATTTTTTGCCATTTTGGAAAACAACATAATATTACGTGTTAGCAGAATGTTCCTAGTGGTAGTAGTATAAACTGGATCAACATTTTTTGAGGGGGCAATATTAAAGTTATCAAAACTCCATACATAAATAAGTTCCCAAAAGTAAAATATGGATATTCACTGTTACATCAGTTGTAATACCAATAATATGGAACTCTCATATTGCCCATAAACTGAGCCATAAAAAAGAGTGGGGTATACATACCTATTTGTAATGCCATGACAACATCTCAAAAACACATTATTAAACAGAAAAAGCAAGATACAGGACCACAGGTATGATCTCATTTGGAGCTAAAAAAAGCTGCGTCTCTTTCTCCCAAACCTTCTGCTACTGGAACAAGATCAATTAGGGCAACAAGATCAATTAGGGCAAAAACCTAAAGCTAACCTTTTTTTCTTTTACTCTAGACAGTGGACTTGTGGTTGTAGATACTTAATATTTTCTCCCTAATTCGCAATGCTGCAGAATGCTTCCTGTCCTCTCATCCGTACCCGAAGAATTCTCAGGCATCAAAAAACGGTGGCTGCAACACCCAAGCTCACGTGAAGGTTATCTCCAGCTGACCTCATTTCACACAATTTTCAGTAGATTCTAAATGGGAGTTCCAAAGCATCGGGAACAGCCCAGCGCTCTACCGCCCGGGGCACAAATCCATTTTCTTTGGCTCAAGCCAAGTGCCCAAGTCCCACGGGCGTATCTATCACAAACCTCCTAAGGTTCAACCTAGACGCGCATCCGCCACCTGTCCAAAGCTGCGGAGAGGAGGCCCAGTGTCCCCCGACTGCCACCCCGGCCGCTTCCCCAGGTGGCTCCTACCGGCGCACGGGTGGCGGCGGGCACCGCAGCAGGCGCCTCCGCTCTAACTCCTTCTGGAAGCGGAAGGCGGCGCGAAAGTCCTTCACTCCTCGAACCGACGGGACTAGCGTGGGGACTTTCGGAGCCAGGAGGCAGTGAGGCGCCTGCTGCAGCAGGCTCACTAGCCTAGACGCCATTGCAGGGAAGAAACCAATGGAGGACGGAAGGAAAAAAGTCGAGCCGGTGTTGCTAGAACACAGGTCCCCCGGAACTGGGGCATTCGAAGAAAGAGCAGGGGCGGGGACAGCATCTGAGGGAGGGGCGACTATGGCTGCGTTTTCATTGCGCATGCGCAAGCGCTTGTTCTCACCCAACTTGAAATTATGCGCAGACTAGCTACTTTAAAATGGCTTTGGGGTCTTGGAATTTCTGGCAGAAGTTTCTTCACTCTGTCTGTTGCTCTCTTGTTTCTTCACTTGTTCTCTTATTCTTTCTTTTCTCATTAAAGAAGAACAAAAATCCAGTTTCACTTTGAGGTTAAAGAAAACACGTAAATTCTCAAAAACTAAAACATTTTCTATTTGTATTTACTTTTAGAGTTCCAGACCATCAGTGCAGCCACTACTGAGCAAATATTTACTGAGCTTCTGCTTATAACCCAGCACATCTTCAAAAGCCTTATTTTCAGAAGCCCTAGACTCAGAAATGTTGGCTTCTCAAAATTAAAATTTTTATTGAAAAGCAATCTAACAGTACATTTTTTAAAAACATCAGAAAAAAGAGTGATGAGAATACATCAAAGCAGTAACAGTGGAATTATAAGTAGTTGTTTTTTAATATTTTTTTGTCTTAATCTTTATCTTACACTCTTTGGAAATATAAATTATATTTTATATTTTAAAATGTTACCAAAATAAGTGGAGCTATGAGACCACTATAAGTATAATCTTGAAACTTCAAATCCTGTTTTTGTTACTGAGCAATCAGTGGGCTCACTGTCTGATGCACATAGAAGCCAGTACCATGGCACCAGGCTTTGAAAAAGGAAAAGCTTTATTGCAAGTCTACTAGCAAGAAGACAGGAGGAAACACCCAAATCTGTCTCCCCAAGCTGGGGATTGAGTCAGGTTTTATAAGTAGAGGGTAATGAGACATGATCTGACTGGATTCTGCCCAGGGGTAACACCAGGGCTCTCTCCTATTGGATCCTGGGTCCTGCCACGTGGTGTCCACATCTTAATTCAGTCCATCACTTAGGTCCTGCCTGTGGTTGCATATTTGGTTGTTGTATATTGCATGTTTGGCTCATCTGGGCATGCTCAGATTACGTTACCTTCAACCTGGGGGTTCCATGACAACTGTAAAACAACTCATGACTTTGTTACATAAAAGCTGAGTCAGACTGGTTTGGTGCGGTTACCTTTTGTTTTGCCTTTTTTTTTTTCTTTTAATAAATAAAGCATTGTAAATGTGGTTTGAGCTGTTTGCAATGTGATTGTTATGCTAGCCTTCAGTGTAAACCCTGGGTAAGGCCCAGAGAACAGTTTAATAGAACGCCTGGCAAAACTACTTAACAAGATCACCAACTCTCCTTTCCTCTCTGGGATGAAACTGTCTCCACATCTTTTGGTAAGGCCGAAGGAGGTGAAGCTTGTGCAGAAACAAGACATCAACATAGATTCCATTTTCAGTCTATTCCATAGATTTAATATGTTCTGAACGGATAAACATTGATAAGGTATATATAACAACTGCTGAAAGATGCTGATAATTTTTTTTAAGTATTTCTTCTTGATTAGAGTTAACCAGAGTATGGGCATTAAAAGTTGTAAATGAAAGAATCTGGATATTGCATGAGAATAATTTATTCTTTTTGAGGCTATCACTTATATTGTTCATATCTATTTTTTTAAATACTCAGCTAAATATTACATTAGTTTACATATGAGATGTCATATTCTCAGTGAGTTCCACCATATAGTTCTCATGACACTGTCAAAAGAAAAACTTTAGACAAATTAAATTTAACAGAGTTTAATTGAGCAAAGAATGATGAGTCAGGCAGCCCCCAGAACCAGAATAGATTTAGAGCGACTCAGGGGATGCCACATGGTTGGACAATATATATGCACAGAAAAAGGAAAAAGTGACGTATAGAAAATGGAAGTGAGGCACAGAAACAGTTGGATTGGTTACAGTTGGGCAGTTGCCTTATTTGAACTAGCTTTGAACAGTTGGCTATCTATGGTTGGCTGTGACTCAGCTACTTGGTACAAGAGTATGTTATAGTTATGATTTGATACTGTGTCTAAAAGAGAAAAAGAGAACAGGTTACAGGCTGTTTATACATCAAGTTAGGTTACAGTTCATTATGTACAGAGACACCTTTAGGCCAAACTTAAAATATGTATGGAGGCAGCTTTAGGCCAAACTGCATTTGACAATGCTATTAGTTAAGTATCAGTATGGCAGTAATTGTATCAGTCAGCGACCAATGAAGAAAACAGAGCACACACCAGATGGTTCCATGGAAGAAATTTAATACAAGGAACTAGTTACAAAGGTGTTAGAAGAACTGAAAGGCTTAAGAGAGACCATGGGGTAACCTAGAGATTAGCAACAGCAGGACTGGAGAGACAAAGGGTCGAGATGGCTCCAGAGTGCAGGAGTTAGAGGAGTCCAGCACGACTGAAAATCCAACACAGACTGCCTCCCAAGGGCACGACAAAAAAGGGAAGCAGTATCCGGTGGGGACTGGAGCTGCAGTGGAAACACACTCCCTAAGCAGAGAGGAGATATAGCCTGGTTTCTCCTTTCCTTCTACCTTCCAATCTCCCACCACTGCCTCCCCTATACAAACTTATCAGGAAGACAGTTGGTTAGGGAGTTCAGGAAATGTAGTTTGCAGCAGTCAACCCCCTGTACAGAGCAGGGTAAGGGTAGAGGGCAGTGGACCTGATGGGAAACAGGCAAGTGACTAGGCTGGCCATTATGCTTAAAGTATCTGAAATGCAAAGAGCAAGTCAAGGCCAAATTAGAACATTAACCCAATAAGCTAACATACCTTACTTAATTCATCCAAATGTTAAAGGTAGGAACTTTTTGATAAAAGAAAAAATAATGGTACTTATCATTATTATAAACTACCATCACAAGGAAGTCTAGCATAAGACAAAGAGAAGCAGAGAAGAATATGGAAGAATAGACATTTAGAGATCAAAATCCAAGGTAAAGAACTTGAGTTAATGATAATATCTACCATACAAAATCTCTGCTTCCCACATCACCAATAAACGGTAATATTATTCTTCTTACTTTAGAAATGCAAAGTCTGTAAAGACATCAACTAGCTTGCCAAAGACTTCTCTGCTAGTTAGCAGCAAAACTCTCTGACTCTAAAGATCATGCTCTTTTCACAGTTAGGGTAAAAGGACTTCTCTAAGATCACATAGCTGGCAGTCAATTGTAGAACATTATTCATAGATTCTACCTTCTAACTCAGCATGGCAGCTCAGAAATCAATTCTCTCTGTGTACCTAGAGTCTGTCAGGTCCAAGAGTCTGTGTTATTGATCTTCTACTGTCACCACTTGAACCCACTCCAATCAGATTTTGCCCCTACCATTCCATGGGAAAACTTTGATTATTCTGCAGCATTTGACACAGTTGACCACCCTCTCCTTCCTAGAATACGTTCTTCCTTTGTCTTCAGGACAGCACACAGTATATCCATTTTCTTCTTGCCTTGTGGGGGCTCCTTTCTCAGCCTCCTTTCTGGCTCCTCCTTGTCCCCTAGACCTCCAAATGTTGCTGTTTCCAAGCGCTCCGCCTCTCTACCTCTTCTTTATTTACACACATACTCCCTTCTGGACTTCATGTACTCTTGTGGCAGTAAATAGTCATGCTGTATATGTACTTCAAAAAAATTGTTTTGTTTTTAAGCACTGATTTTACAAAATGTGGTACAAAGGTGAACCTGATTTAGAATTTGTTCACATAAGTAGCCTTCAAGATACACTAAGGCTAAGATGTTTTATGTGCATTTTGGAAGAAATCACAAAGAAGCAACTGCTTTTTCAAGAAACTGGACCCACTTTACATCTTTTAGGTTGGTTCACTGCCATTGTGCTAGATGAGAGTTATCTGGATCTTATTGTACACATTGAACCATTCTGGGTGATGACTCATCTTCTCTGTTTGCAGGACAACTCAAGACATGAGTCCTGTTTAACAGGTAAACTGAGGCAAAACAAAGTTTTAGGGTTTATTTGAGTAAACAGCGATTCATGAATTGGACAGCTCCAAACCAGGTGTTTCCAGGGGCTCCACTGAAGAAGCATTAGGGACAAGCTTTTATAGAGTGAACACAGAAGTGATATGAAGAAAGTGTTTGATTGGTTACAGTTATAAAGTGGCATTATTTGGTGTGTCCCACTGGAAAGGCCTTAGCTATATAATTGTGTTTGTTGGCTGTTTCTGATTGTCAATCAACTGCTGATTGGTTGAGCTTAAGTTTTGTTTTTCTTTAATCTAGGCATTTACAAGAAACAGCACAAGTTAAGTTTCACTTATGTTTCCAAATTAAGCAAGGTTAAGGTCACTTACAGGCCTGACTGGTTTTATCTATTCAGGATTCTTCAGCCCTGATTTCCATTTTAATTTGCGTTAACAGGCCAAAGTCCCGGTTAAAATTTTTGAACAACTCATTGTAGATGGCTTTTTTTCTCACTTAATTTTGACTATCCTGCTGCCTTAAAGATCAAGTGTAAACTTGGTTCCTCTACTCTGCTGCCAACCAGTGAGCATCAGCTGATCCCGCCGAGGGCTGCCCGGAACACTCTACCCAATGTGCCTCTAACTCCCAGAGTTATGGCTGCAGCCCAGACCTCTCTAATATTCAGTAGTGCA